TGCCAAAGGTTTCTTCAGTCTTTCTCAGTATCTGCTTAATTTCATTTGTTCCTTAATTTTATTACTTTTTCACGGACTGTCGTCTTTTACACCCAAATCTGAGCACACGGGCTTACATTTCCGCCTCCATTGGAAATGTAGCCGCCGCATTTCCGCGACCTGCGGAAATGCGGCGGCTACACCGCGACCTGCGGGTTAGCAGCCGAGTACCTTAGCTACTAGACCCCCGCGGTGGGGCACCTTAGCCACTAGACTACCGTGGCGCGGGGTGGGGGGGGGGGAGGGGTGAAGCTTAGTACCAGCGCTTTTTTCCATATTCATATGTACCATATGTCAATGTATGGCGCTGACAGTGCGCCCCCCCCCCCCCCCCCCTGAGACGCAGCGCCCCTCCCTGTTATACAATGTGTGGGACTGGCTTTGCACTCCCATATTATGTGACTAGGGAAATCGGCCATCTTTCATCTCCTTCTCCCCTCCTCCCTTATGGGCACGCGTATGTTCATTGTTAAAAACACATAATCGCTTCATTTTCATTTTTTTCATAAATTCTGAAGCTGTCTTTTGGGTTGACCAAAGGAAACGTGAAGAAGGGTTGAGGGCGTGCCCGGGGAGATTTATGTCCACCCATACTTCTTTAGAGTGTGACATGCTGTCGAACTTTGGTGTGTAACACCATTGGTTCGTGACCAGTTCTCTATAGTTGTTTCATATCACGGGCAAAATAACAACCATCATCATCGTTATGATTCATCATCATGAAGTAACTAATCTCACGTCCTCTCTCGGGGTCAGCTTGTCTTACCAAGTCGAGGGCTACAGCCAGCAACAATGAACACTCCGGGTTTGCGTCCACCGCAGAAACCTCTGCCACCTCCGACCCAGCAACCGCTGCCGCAAGCGGGACAGTCATCTGTTCCAGGAACGCCCGTTTCCACCTCTCCGAGTTCGGGGTGAGTTAGGCCTAATTCGAACTTATGCTCGCTACTGTTTTCGATTCTCACTGTATCGGGTCTCCACCGATGAAGCGGGCAAACACTGTCAAACCCAGCCACTGAATACACAATCACCTCCTACATATTGGTTACAGTTTATGAATGTGCTTGTCAATGGCGTAAAAAAAATGTATTGGGCAGGCCTGTAGCTATTATTATTTTTCAGGATGTGGTGGGGGGGGGGGGAAGAAGGAGAGACATTTTTGAAGACCATGAAAAAGTCGTTTTTTCACTACTTATTCTCAGTGAAACAGCCTCCTCCTCCATCCTCCTATGTTCTATCATGCGCATTCTATCATTCGATAATGCATAATACATAGGATGCGCTTCTCCAGAACTATGCATGACCGTCATGGGGTACAGTCGCGCTCAACGAGTGCAACACGCTCGCTGTGGCTGAAGTAACCCCTAGCCTAGAAAATGTTGTCAACGAACATTAATTTGGTTCAGAAAATACGACTAAGTGAGGAAGTTTGATTCGCCCGTTGTTTTCTATGTATGTGCTACTTTGAATTGCTGGCGCCATTTTGAGTACACACTCATATTTAGTGCCGCTGTACATGCTCGGGACCCAGTTGTACTTGTGCCGAGCAATAGCTACGAATGGCACTGACGCTTGACGAATCAATGCGCGTACCAGAGAATCGGTAATGATCACAAGTACGGGGTAAGGAGTTATATGGGTCCGATTACGGTCGACAGGGAATCTAAACGGACAAGAGGTTCTGCAGAGACACATGGAAATGTGTTCAATCAATTGAGAGTTTTGCAAGGTTGATAAGATTTGATAACACTTGAGAAAAGTCCGATAATGACCGATAAGGTTCGTAAGCGTGAGAACACCATCCATTTTGTTAATTTTATTTCACCTTCAAGACTGAATTATTACAGAGGAAAGTGCTTAACAACGCATACAAAATAAGAATTAAACAAACCGAAACGAAGCAGCGAAATCGGCTAATTAGGGCAAAGAATAATAGATTCGTCAATTAACTCCGGGAATGATAATGCCCAAAATGGCTGAGTGAAACTTGGAGTTATCCTTGAAAGGAACAATCGTGTTCCAACAAACAATTATTCTGATTCAATAACCTACGGTAAGTTTTATCGGTGTACTTAGTCGTCAATCTCACTCACGCTTATTTCCGACTTTTGCGGAAACTATCATTAGTTTTGTGACTTCCCTTAGGTCCCTAAACAGCATATCTTAACGCTTCTTATTTTTAGCGCCAGTTCGATGAGCGATGTCAAACTCGACTCCGGGACCTTGTGCTCCGCTGCTGCTGCCTGCTTCTGCTGTTGCGCCTTTGCCTTACTGGCGATCAGTTTGATGACGTCACTTCTCGTCAGCATCTTGAGCACCACGAGCGCGCCTGCAGACGAGTACGTCAAGTGGGCGGTCAACGTTGACGCCAAGGAATGCTCCCAAGTAGCCAAGTAAGTCGGTATCTCGTAGCTGATCCGCCATCCGATTCGTGAAAAACCCAACTCTACATGCACCCTACCATTATGGTGGTCAAGTGGTTAAAGTGCTAGACCATTGCCCCGAAGGTCGTGGGAACGAATCCCGGCCACGGCAGTAGCATTTCACCTCAGCGCCTCTTTCCTCACTCCCCTCTTCTGGGTGGTCGGGTCCCAATGAAAACAAGCTTGCTATGGAAGCAAAAATGAAAACGAAACTACGAAGTGCTTCTCACAACGGCCCGCTCACAACGACACGCTGTCGGTCCTCGGCTTTTCAGGGTTAAAGGTGAGGAGTAAACAGTTCTTTGAATGCAATATCAAAAGTTCAATCGCAGGAGTCATAAGGCATGTTCAGCCACAACACTTCGCATTAAAATGTCGTGTAAGGTGAGAGTGGGCCACAATTGACAGCACCTTGGACATGATCGAAAAGGCACCCCTCCCTTTCCCCCTCCCAGTCCGCATGGTGGTGTCTCTTTCAAATTTTTCTCAAGAACCACGATAGGAACTATCAGTTTAGGGACGCAAACAGAGAGCAGGTCTCCCCAAATCTTCCAAAATTTCCCCATGACTCGCGATCGAATCATTCTCGTCAGATATACAAACTGAGAACACTTGCTTCGTCTCTGTTCCTCCTGCCTCCCTACAGGGAGATCGTGGACGACGGTGGTGCCATAGGAGACATCGCCGTGGCCGTCATGTTATGCATGGGTGTCACAGCTCCGCACCTCGTTGGCATCGGCGGCGGCTTCATCGCGCTCTATTATAACAAGTAAGACCCAAGCTTCAACAGCGAATTGAGAATAGTGGCCGTAATGCAGACTCGTAGATAAATGTCGCGCTCAGAAAGCGGGAAACGCGAAAGAAGTGACAGGATGGTCACTGACTGTTGGAAGTTCCACGTCTTACCACAAAGAACAAAAGAGGGAAGTGGGACCACTGCCACTTTTCGCTTCTTTTTTTTTCTGAGGGGGAGAGGTGGAAGTGAGGGTGGGGTGGGGGTGGTTTATTTTTTCACTGTTGAGCATTAACTAACACAAGCTTCATTAATTATGTCTCTTTTTGTGTGCAGCTTTCATCGCTATACGTCTCACGTTGAACCTATACCAGTACATCCAGTACACCCAATTACTTCGGTTCGAAATGCAGACTCAATGCCACAGAAATTTGGTAGAAATGTCAAACATTGCCGCTACAAGCTTACCTTTAATGACAAATGACAAAAAGGGCTACCGAAATGCTCCTGGCTCATTGTCTATAAACGACTACGCAATGACGGCGATGACAGAACGACGCGAGAAGAATAACGATAAAAATGTGATGACGGGCTACTGTGATTGGTGTGTAGGTCTCAAATCTCACACCGTATGAGAAGGTTATGCGGGGTAGCTTTCACTTTAAAGAACGGGCAAACATAAAAAAGAAGTCAGAAGGAGCTATTTATCTTTGCGATGGCACTTTCTTATGAGAAGCTGTATTAGGCAGAATCAGCCAAATTCCAGTTCTCGTGACGTTTAGCTGTTCTGACATACTTTAAAGTGAAGATGAAGAGATTTTAGAATTCAAAGTTCATGTTTAGGAAGGACCGACATTATTGTTGACGATGTAATCATTGTTTTCGCGGTTGTAGCAGCAGGAGCTTTATAACAGGCGAAATGAAAGCTTATCCAGCTCCATCCCCGCGAGCGCGTTGAAAGTGTGGGCATGGAAACTTACGTCATCTTCGTCTCGTTTCGCCCGGAGCAAGTGTTTTTGTTTTTCACAACGACTGCCTCTGTGACTACCCCATGACGTGCCGTTGCCGGAACTAATTGAAGAGGCCACACTTCAGCAGTGCTGCTGTTGCAGGTGACGTGGCATGCCGAGAATGACGTCACCATGTTCGATCGGCGTCTCAAGAAGCCCGAAAGCCACAGTCACTGTTTTATCACCAAAAAGTGTTATTGGCGTTCACTTTTGAGAACTCTCACATCGCTTTTCTAATTCAGCAGTGATAAAACTGTCCTTACACGCTCCTAAGTCATTTTTTTTAGAAAAGTGCGCCAGCTTCCCTTTAAGTTTAAGCTAACGTCATCAAACGATATGTTTAAAGCACGAATCTCTTAGAATGATGGTCAACATAAAACGCTTTGACAGATACCAGCTCGTCATAAAAACCAGGGCTGCATGTTTCACCATTGCTGGATAACCCTTTGCGCAGAGGGCTTGAGCGGTGATTTTTTTTTAGAAACAGTTCCAATAGTAGTATTCAGATTCACATGCTGTTTCTTAGAATACAGCCCCGCAGGCTGTAATGAAATAACACTTTAATATATCTTTGAGGTACATCATATCTTTCCTCACTTAAAGTACTATTTAGAATATGACCCGACCTTACGTAACGGTCTTGAATTCCATGAGACACTGGTGCTGCAACGCGGTGTCATGTTCCAGTTTTGGTGCGACGGAAAAAGTTATCAGGGTGTGCTTTTTGTAGACGCCGCCCGGTATCACCGAAATAACAATATCAGTAATAGGGTTGTGCCTGGCTCCTTCTTCGCAATGGCGGTCATAGACCCAAAAGGGAAGACCTTCACTACGGGCTCCGTAAGGACCAGATCGTCGGAGGCAGCGGAAGAAATGGCCATTACACTGGCCGTTGTCAATGGTCAAAAACACGACAGATTAATAATCAGTGACTCCAAGATGGCCATTAAGAATTTCACAAAGGGATGGGTCTCCACCGAAGCAGCGAAAATCTTGAACCGCAGAGTAGAAGACTTCCGGAACGGCAAAAATGTACCCAAATACCTCAAGTGGATCCCGGCGCACATGGGGGAATTAAACACCGAAGACACGACCATCCCTCAAAACCTCAACGAGAAGGCCCACCGAACCGTGCGAGAACTAACACACCACGGCTCGGACAGTGACGGCCCGGCTTCCCGCACCGACCACAGAAGGGGCGACGACTCCGGTGGAGGCGATGGGGACGATGGAGGTGATGACAATAATGAATATGCTATACAAGACGACAGAGACAGACTGGTCACGTATCATGACATATTGACACATTATAAGCGACAACGAGAAGAATATCCGCCACCACACAAACAGCTAGACAGATCTCAAGAAACAGATTGGCGAAGATTGCAAACCAGAATCTTTTCAAATCTAGTACACCTGAACAGAGTAAATTCCAGACAATACCCATAAACAAGCTGTACCCTCTGTGAGCACGAACACGCAGATATGGCACATATTTTATGGCAATGCACACAGGTCACAGTAATATACCGAGAGGACAATATAAAACCGGACCTTCTCGAGGAGCGCTGGCTAAGTGGGCTGACTAGCTCAGATTTGCACGACCAACTGTGGGCAATCCAGCGAGCCCGGACAGCGGTGGAAAGAATACGCCTCACCGCACAAAACGTCGGGGTGACATGAGCTCGGGCCGGTAACCCTGCAGGGGTTCTTTTTTTTAATAAAGTTTTTTTCCATCCATCCATCCATCCATCCATCCAAAAAAGTTATCAGAACCGATGTGCTGCAGATGTACACTTCTAAAATGTATGTCTTGAGAATAATAATACTTAATACGTTCCCGGCCTTTCTTACGTTTATTGGCACATGTCCAACGCTAGCCCCTCCTTCTGTCCCCTCGTTCTGTGGCCCTGTTGATGACAGCGACCGACAGCATGGAGGGTTTCCTTTTTTAAAGCACTGCTATGCACTGCACGTACCGGTGCTTGTTCTCAGATACGAGAAACGTGCCATAGTACACAGCTGAAGTTGAAAATAAAGAAGAAATCTTTCTCGAATTTTACGAGGGCATTTTTACTTACAGGACTTCTGGCCAAGTACGCACGCTAAACTCTCTCGGTAGATCGCCTTCTGCAGCCAAACCTGACATGTTTTCTGACGCAACTCTCTACAAGTACGGTGAGTCGTTAATATATGTCATTAGCACATTACTCTGTCTTCCGTCGAAGCGGTACAGAACTAGTCACGAAAAGAAAGGCTCAGGGTGCCGGTTACAAGTCTTTTTCGGTCATTCCGAGGTTTTATCGGTCATAGCTAATCGTCAATTAATGTTGCACAAACGTATTGCCAAGTATACGCATGACATTAATGATGAAGCGAGCGAATGACAAAGCAAGACTTTATTGGGTCGTCTTGGGCGCTACTTTCGAGGAAAATAATAGGTGAGGGAAGAGTCGTTCCGGCATTGTCGTCATCTCATGAGTTCATGCTAAACCCGCAGCTGACGAGGCCATCTTCCAGCAAGGACTTGCACCAAGTGACTGGCTGATTCGATCATACATATTTCTCTGCAACTATTTGACTTGGGCCACACTCGGCTCTTGACGCCACACTCGATAGGACTAACCGTCCAATTAAACAGGCTCGCTACTTGGACTGATTAGCACTGCGACCTAAAAGAGAAGCCCTTTCTTGAACGCAAAAAGTGTAAGGAAAGGAGCCAGATAGGCTAGAGCTCTGTCCTACTTGAATTCTTGTCCCCCACTTGTTTTGTGTGCACAGAAAGGGGACTTTGCTTTTATAACGTCCACTTAAGAATATTTTATTTACCGATTTAACAACACAAGCGCATAATTATCATCCAACGGTAGGAATATTTTTAGTGCGGTTACTAAAATAGTGATAGCAATGAATGGACACTCGAGGCTCATCCTGGCTGTATTCGTCGGGTTTGTATAAATAGCGAATCGATAACATCACCCCGCATGTCTTGAGTTTTATGTCTGAGCGAAAGATTGCAAACGCTGCAGATAGAAGAGGCACAAGTAGACATGGAGCGCAGTAGACATGGAGCGCATCTGCCAACTCCGTATGGCGAACAACACGAAGCGGCGACGCGTCGCTCGAGCAGCAACTCCAAACTTTGATCAAGAGGGCGCAGTCGAGCGCGCTATCTCGGCAAATATCAGTAGACGGCTCCACCCTTGTATACATACTGTGTTATTACCGCTTTCTTCTCGTTGAAGCGACATGCATCCAGAAAAGCGCTTCGCTCCCTGGAGCGGCTGTATGACATTACGCTGTATGTTTCTGGAGTAACGCGATATTGAATCGTTAAAGGGTTATGACTGCAAGCCTTACTTCGTATAACATTCCAATTTGTCGCTGTCGCATTGAATGATTTGTCCGTGCGGCGAAACTGGTTTTTTTCCCCGTATGACAGCGGGCGCACTGTGACACTTTCGTATTGCATTATATGCTGGTTATAAAAAGGAACAGGGCGAATGCGACTATACTGTGACTCTGGTTTATAGCGTTAGTGATAACCGTTGTTTTCGCAGGTGCCACGGCTTCCATTGTTCCAGGTGCCATGAAAGGCTACGGGAGAATCCACAAGGAGTTGGGCGAACTGGAGTGGTACCGGCTTTTCGACCCGGCGATTCGGCTGGCCAGGGAGGGCTTCACTATTGGACCCCACCTGGGCCAAACACTCGAGAGGCACAGTGTCCACGTCGAAGCCAACGCCGACCTCAAGTGGGTCCTCATTCCCATCCAATTGCGGTTTCACACAGTAAATCACAAGTGCAAAACAACATTGCGTGCATAGGTTTTTCCTCTTTCCCCCTTCCTTCTCCCCGTCCATGTAAAATAATTCAGTTTGGCCCACTGTACGAGGTACCGACACCAGGAGGCCGTGAAAATTGTTTGTATGTTTGTTTTTGTGTTTGTGGAAGTGTGTGTGTGTGTCAAAAACAGAAAGTTTGCTCTTCTTTTCCGTGAGTCCTGTTTAGATAGACTCCTTATAACTCTCTTTTGGGTCCCTCGACTCTCGCACGGGAGTATAATCTCCCGAGATAGTCCACCAGTCTCTTCAAAGAGTGTCATATACGTAGCAAATCAGGACTCACTGAAAAGGATGCTCATTTTTTAGATTGTGTATGTTCTATCTACGGCATGTACAGAGCATGTCTGTTATATCCTTTTTTAAATAATAACTTTATTTCATCTAACGCTACGCATTATTACACCACTTATCATATATACTAGCTTATCCTCATGACCTAATATTTATTATTCAGCGGCCAATAGGGCAGAACAATGACATAAAGAAGTGCCAAATATTTATTCCGGTTGTTAATATAACGATTGTCACAATTGAAACCTACTAGCCGTTGAATACAACTTTCACTGTTACAACATTCACTGAAACATTACTGGTTTAACAACCTTGGCTAAAGCATTCCTGGTTTGACTACTAGGGAGCTCTTCAAGTATACACTTCTCTCGAGATCGACGACGCTGTTTTACCAATAGTGCTATTGACCTGACCTCTCATTCCTTTGTCAATGGACGCTTGACGTTGTGATGCCTGTAAACCAAGTGGAAACCACCTACAAACAGTACAAAATACTCAGACATAAACACAAAATCGTGAACAAGTGTAAATGTTTACGGACATGACGACATATTGAGCGCTAAGAGACAGGCACATCAGAGGGAGGACAACACAGTGCGCTACATGGACAGTTCTTTCTTTTGTTTGCATGTGATCCACAGGACGCGATTCTGGAACACCGAGACCAACACCGTGTTGAAGAACGGCGACCAACTGGTGCAAGGCGCGCTGGGGGATGTGCTCAGCGACCTAGCGATTCACGGCGCCCAGTACATGTACACGGGAGACTTGGCCAAGGACATCGCCGATAGCGTCAAGCAGGGTGGTAGGTATAAAGCAGCGAGATGGACATGTTCGTATTTCGCATAGCTGCGATGCGACAAGGCATCGCTAAGAGGCAGATTTGGCCAGGGAAACTCATAATGTCATTTATGCATTCACTTAAACAACTCAAAGGCGAAAGCCTTCTTCTTCTTTATGTACATAGTATTGATCCTCTCCACCCTCCTCCCCTTTCCCCCCTCCCCCCACGAAAGCTTTCGGCACCTACGAGGTTCTGCACCATAGGTCTCACCATGAGTCAACTCACTCCGACTCACGCAGACAGATTGAGGCGTGAGCCTGAGTCCGAGTGAGTCCGACTGAGTTATACTCATGTGAGCCCGCCTCCGAGTGAGTCGGGCTGAGTTATACGTTGGTGAATCTGAGTCCGAGTGAGCACACGCGAGGAAGATTTTGGAGAGTGAGTCCGGCTGAGTTATACTTTGGTCAGTGACTTCAGGTGAGTCGGGATGAGTTATACATTGGTGAGTGTGAGTGTGAGTCCGAGTGAGTCCAGTTGATTTATACTTGTGTGAGTCTGAGTTCGAGTGAGTTCACTTCAGGAAAATTTTGATTGGTCTGGGTCCTAGTGAGTCCTACACGAAAAAAAAAAAAAAACTAATGTACTTACGAGTCTGCGTCGGCTACATATATATTACCGACCTACAGTTACAATTATTTTAGTCTCATTTAACAGCGTGCCTTGTAATCGTATACGTTCGCGCTTGTAAATACACAAAATTGATTTTCCACATTATGAATCTGTCCATTTCCCCTCACCCTTGGAACTCATTCCAGTGGAAGTTTTCGATAAAAACCCCTCATATCTTCGAGTGAAGTTATATTCACTGTATAGCAACTATTAAATGTTACTGAAATGTATTAAATTAAGTGGCGCCGCAAAATGCACCGATTAGGTGAGATATTAACATTAATATGCCAATATGACTAAAAAGCTCTTCCTACTCTAAAACATTTATTAATATTATTATTGATAGCACTACACCTCTAAAATATCACGCAATGTGTATTGCCTATTTGTAAGGCGTATACCTATTTGTAAGATTTTCGCTATGTATTTGGTCACGAACCTAATTCCCTTCACCGCGGCGTGATTTCAAAATTTAAATTTGAATTGCCAACGAGACGTAGGAGTTTCTTTCTCATGAAACAAGTAATTTTTGGTGATGTAATAGTGATGTTTATGCATTGCACTGGTTCCAACTTTAGAGATAAGAGATAACGCGTTTCTAGCGTACACTGTTCGCAGACTCTGCCAGGGTAGAAAGAGCAATTTATACCAATGCATGCTAACAAATTAGTGCGATCTTTTCCGATAGGAGAGAAGAACGCCAAGCAAATCACGTTACTGACAGCAATAAAAACTGAATAATTATCGATCATCGCAATATTGTGTCTCCAGTCTAATTCACAATGTTCGAAATAAAGGAACATGGCTCTACGAGGGCATAGAAATGGGCTGTGTAGCATGTTCTCGCAGACGTGCAACCCCAAGCCAATTTTATTACTCGACCTCATGGTTTGCATTGAGTTTGATCTACCAGTATGTACCTCATCAACGGGCAATGAGCGCACTGGTACAACTTCATCATTCATGTGGCTTTAAAGGCGACAGAGCAGCACGATTAGCAAGTATCGAGCACCCCTTCGCTCTCAATTGCAGTGAACTGCTTGTGTCGTAAGATGCCGCTTCAATTTTCCATGAATAAATCTGGCGATTGGGAAATTTCGGAGCGCCGAAACTTCGCTGAATCACGATGAATCAGGCTATCGGCTTTTGTCGTGTCATTCGCCGACAATTAAACAGCGGCTGCGTTGTTTAGTGTTCCCCGTGGTACGCTGAGAGTTTTGCGGGCAGACTTCAAGGAGGAAGAGAACAGAACCTCACTGTTCATGCCATACGCGACCCTTAATTTTTGGCAAAAGCAAATTTCTTCAAGCTGCAATGTCACTGCCTCCAGGATCGAAGGCACTGCAAGCTTTCTGAACGTAGCCTGTTTCTGCACGGCCTCCGTGATCGGCCAACCTGTGAGTGGCTAAGCGACGATATTATACGGTGGCTAATGTGACGCCATGGTGACCAGCGTCACCAATTCTGGCAATCTGTGGTGGCGTCATGTGGTCACGTCCTCTCGTGATGAAAACCTTTCTCCAGCACTCGGGTTAACGCCAGCAACGGTCAATTTTGACGGTTGTTGACGTATTTAAGGTAATATTGTGCCTCATATAAAGGCAGTACGATAACCGAAATGGGGCGCCTTGTTTCTCACAGAATCAAGGTGGTCAGCTGGTTCATGAAGTCACTCAATATATGTTAGTTATTAGAAAGAAGAAATGCGTACCGGTTAGAAGCAGCGTGAAGAATCAAATCTGGCTTATAAGCTGCTCTAAACACCTGACAGATTACATGCATGCCTTTTCCGACAGACTACACGTTTTCGCTGCGCAAAAGGCTGACGGAGGCAGCCTGGAGTGGTGAATGAATTGCTCCGGTAGAAACTTCACTTTGACCAATCGGGCGTGGTCGACCGTGGTCGCACACGTATATGTCGTATATACCTCGACAGTGATCAGTAGATGGTTCATATTTTTTTGTTGGTGTTGTGTTCTAATCGTGAAGTCTGCATTGAAGCCATAGATGTAGCGTAGACATAGCTCGCTGCAGTGACCACGTTTTCCTTTTGTCCGTGTTTTGTTGAGTTGCCTCAGGTAGCGTGCTAGAAGATCTAGTTGCTAGCCTAAATTTCGCCCTGCCGCGGTGGTCTAGTGGTCTTGTGGTACTCGGCTGCCGACCTGCAGATCGCGGGATCGAATCCCGGCTGCGGCGGCTGCATCTCCGATGGAGGCGGAAATGTTGTAGGCCCGTGTGCTCAGATTTCGGTGCACGTTAAAGAACCCCAGGTGGCCAAAATTTCCGGAGCCCTCCACTTCGGCGTCTCTCATAGTTATATGGTGGTTATTGTACGTTAAACCCTACATATCAATCCATCAAGCCTGAATTTCGTATAACACTCCAATTTGTTTCTGTCACATTCATCGTTTCGCCCTTACGGAGAAACTTTTAGTCCCCGCACAGGTCCTCAAATATTTGTGCTTACGCCTCTTTAACACAGGCGGAGTAATGAGCGAAGCTGACCTGTCCGGCTACACGTCCGAGTGGACGAACGCGGTCAGCGTAAACCTCAGCCATGGAATGGTCTTCCACTCGGCACCCATCCCCGGCGGCGGAACGATGTTGGGTGCAGCCGTGGCACAGATATCTCTCGTGTAAGAGCAGATCGAATCCCGTGTATTCAACAGTGGCACAAACAGTCACTGAAACGCAGCCATTTTTCTTGATGAGTACGTTTAGGAGCATTCTGACGTCAATTGCGCAATAGGTGTCAAACACGTGGCCCACGGGCAGCATGCAGCCCTGCCCGCACATGTAATCGTCCCATTAAAAGACAAGATCTTGACGTGTTTATTATGTTAATAAACTACAACGGCGTCACTGGTTTCAAGAATTTTTTTTTCGTGAGGCATCCTATCTGGTCAACATGTGTTAAAGCATAAAGAATAGAAATTGCTTATCTGAGATTATGCTGCTTCTATATTTACTCGTTTTGTACATAAGTGCCGATAAGGTTCTTGACGCTTGACGCCGAATCGTCTTCAAATCGGCCAAGTAGCAGATATGCAAAATACCTCCGTTCAAATGGCAAATGTAGCTGACATCCTGCGCACAGCGCACCCTTTTCCCGCTCTCGCCTTCATCATCGGCAGACTAAGTTAGTGAGCTTGAGTGAGCTCAAGAACTTAAGTATTCCGTCTCATTCTCTTACTCATTACAAACGCTGGTCACTGCAAAATGGCCCAGTTTTCTACTCGCTGCAGTATGCTTTTCACCGGTCATAATGATAAAAGTTAATGTCCTTTAAGATAAACGTGCTGTTATTCATAGCATCTGTGATCGACCGACATTCCTAAAGTGAATTGCTTTTAATTACAGCATATGGCAGCGAACACGAGGTTACACAACTAGCGCACTCTTGCGTTTTCTTTGGGCAACTTCGTCTGCGCTGCCATATGATGTAATGTCCTATACCGACTATAGCCCGCCAATACGTTTTAAGTATAATAAGTGACGGCGCTCCATTTCTTCCATGTCAAGCAACGCCATCTTCAGTGATCCGGGCGAAACCGTCTCACAGATGTCCGCAGGAGACTTACACAGGTAATCACCAGCCTTATTTGCATGTTTTCAAATCGTGAGCCCTCATCCTTGTCACCGCTCTTCATGTTGACTGAAGGATGTCTTCTCCCGGTGACTTTGCATGTCTACAGGCTCGTCGAGAAGTTGAAGTTTGCATACGCCAGAAGAGCAGATTTTGGAGATGATCAAGAATCAAGAAATGTAAGCACGTCAAGCTTTTTATGCTTTCTGCACCTGCTGCAGGTGATCAGATATAATCTGTCCGAGATACATTTACCGTTGTTATATTGTTGAGACGGAACCTAGTAAATATTAGTTGTATCAATCATGATGTCATCGGCGTCACCGTAACTGCCACCACACTGTCACCATTGCTATATTGCTGAGACAGAACCTAATGAACATCAGTTGCGTCATTTATGGCATCAGCGTCGCCACAATTGCCGGCACGCTGTCACTCACGTTAGTGACTGCGCATGCGCATCCCTCTCTTCCAAGGACTTTGCTAAAATCTCGGCTTGGCTCATCGGCTATAATGGGCTCATGCGCCATGCCAGTGCCGTGCATTAGAGTAAAGTTGGCACAGCACGAAGTACGGAAAGAAGCCAGATACAAAATGCCCTTGTTCTGCTTCGCGCTACACCCCTTTAAAATGGGTAACAACTAGCGCGAACAACTACTATTCGTGCGTTGAAGGCCACGTGACCTGCGAGAGCATGTGAGCAAGCGAGGGCATGCATGAAACTTGTTGGCGCGTTAGTAAAGGCCCATATATTGTGCTGGAGGTCACTAGTACTTGATATACTATGCTGCGTAGACGTAATGCTGAAATGATAAAGTGCGCTGTTTATTGATTGATATGTGGGGTTTAACGTCCGAAAACCGCAATATTATTTTGAGAGACGCCGTAGTGGAGGGCTGAAGAAATTTTGACCACCTGGGGTTCTCAAAAGTGCACCCTAATGTGAGCACACGGGCCTACGGCATTTTCGCTTCCATCGAAAATGCAGCCACCACCTCGGGAATTCGATCACGCGACCTGCGGGTCAGTGGCCGAGTATAATATAGCCACTGAACTACCGCGGCAGGGTGTAAATGACGTGGTAACACGACTTCAAGAGCGCGCAAGGTTCCCTTCAGTTGGAGAGGCGTAATGCGAAGGTACGTGACAGTGGCACCCCCTCCTTACTATGTCATTGTTTGCAGCATATTTTGCCCTACTCCCCCCTCAGGTGACTCCCCCTCCCCTGTGCGCACGTCCATGAAAACTAAAACCAAGCAGAATGTAACATGCAAGAGAAAGCATGCATGCATCTTTTAACACGAAAGCACTTCATACCGGTTCACCCTGTGGGGGGAGGGGGGGGGGAGCAATTTTTAAATGAAAAGAGAAAAGTGAGCCCCGTAGCTGTCTCTCATCGGGAGGACAGCTCAACAGTAGCTCACGAGGAATGGGGGTAAGGAGAGATTAAAAGGATATGATTAAAAGGTATAGAGATAGAGAGAGCGGAAGGAGAGAGCTAGGCGTAAGGGACAGCGACATACGGAAGTAAGGAGAAGATAGGAAAGATGGACACGGTCGCAGGAGTCCGAGGGCGGGGCACCACTCGGCGAGAGCTCTTGTCGGCGTCAGTACATGGCGTAGGGCTAGCCAGTCGGCCAGAGCTGCGCTGTCATCGGAGATCGCGGGGGCACAAGGGGTCGGCATGAAATCCAGCGAGCGAGTCTGGTTCACTATGGCTCCGCTGACGTATTTCCGTCACGGATATGACGTTGTAGAATTTATACTTATTGCGCAGAAAACAAACGTGTAGGAAAAGTTCTGCTGTGCAGCGACAATACAGCGACTTCTCGATCTGCAGTGTGCCGACCACTATACGCAATGAAAGGTACGTTGTGAAGCTTGCTAACGGCAAGCTGTTCATATACATCATACACCGTTTGGCAGTCCTTTAAGACTTCAGCGCGTTTTCGTCATCAGTAGCGACATGGCGCAAAGGTCACGCGTTAGACGCGCTCTGAATGTCGTCGCCTCTATATCGTTTCAAATAGCGCCGCCTCCACTGAATGTTGTCTCTCCTGCTCGCACTTATCAAACTCGTCAATCGGGAAAGCTCGGAGGTCATTTACGAAAGGAGCACGCTGCACACACACGAAATAAGAATTGTGACAGTTGTTCATGATTGTCCTGTGTATACATCTGCGTTCGTTTCGTGTGTCTTTCTGATCGAATTGCGTGCCTTAAGTGTAGAGCTGTGACAGTTGTTAGTCTGCGCACCTCCTGCGTATGCTCATTTCGAGCGTGCTTTCTGCTTGAGAAGCGCGCTGCAAGTTCTTGGCTGCTTGCTGTTATTCGCTGGATTTGGCAATTTGTTGCTGTAACATTCATTTCTTTTTCCCTGCACAACAAACAATAAACGCTCAACAATAAGCGCTCAATAACACTCAACAATAAACAGCATTCATTCTTTCACCAATGCACAATAAACGCTAAGCTACCTCTGGGAAGAGGAAGACACGTGAAATTTTCATACTCTACCGATTCCTCGAAAAGGGGATCAGCCACGTGTTTTGTATAGTAAACTTTGCATGTAGTGACTGAAATATTCTCAACCCCTTTATTTCTTTTCCTTATTTTGCAGAACGAGTATCAGATATTCACCGAAATAATTGATAAAGTTAATAAAACGTACAACAGCCATCGCCCTCTGCCGGACGCCGAGAGCTACGGCCTGACGCACGATTTCGCCCAAGACTACGGAGGCGCTCATGTGTGCATCATCGCGCCCAGCGGCGATGCCTTCTCCATTACATCCAGCCTCAACAATGAGTACGTGCACATCTTCTTGGGTGATTAGCAGTCCTTACTACGTGGTAAACATCACAAAGAAAGAACGAAAGAAGTGGAACATGACAGCCCACTGAAATTGTGTTGACTGGTACAATGCATGTATGACCGATGACACGAAAGCGCAATTTCACAAGTTGCCAAACCGGAGGAAACTCAGTGAAGGAAAGATAATCCGCTTGACAGGTCGTGGGACGTGTAGTCCTTGCGCTTCGTCGCTCGTCGCGTTATCTGCGTTGACTTAAACCGACAAGCACTGCTTAGAAGTGTTGTGCAGCATTTATAAAGGTAAGTATATTGAAATCGACTTCATTCAGATTGTATCTTCAAACGACAACCACTACAATAGGGGCTGTTTAGTCGCGCTTCTAGAATTCCGCCAGTCTAGAATCAAAAGACATTAACGTCAGTGGCGTAGCGAGGGGTGGCACGCCAGGCCCGCACCTCCCCCTCCCAAATTATTTAGTGGTGAAGCTCCTTGGGCCTGCACTCCGCCCTCGCCGTCACCACCGCCGAAGCTCCCAGGGCCGGGCAAGAACGCCAAGAAGAACAGCTGCGCGTTAATGGAGAGCACAGGCGCGGCTGCAGATGGCTCGCGCTGCGCCGCGCACTCACTCAGCCGTTCCCGCCACCAAGCGCTGCATACGCTCTCCACACCCGCTGCCACCAAGCGCTGCATACGCTCTCCACACCCGCTCCCCACACCCGCTCCCCACACCCGCTTCCCGTCCTTCCGCCATCATGAAAGCGAGCAGCAAGATCAGGCGCATTATCGCTTGCGTCCCTTTTCTAAGGACCTTCCTTCATCGGTTGTATTCCTACATGAAACAACTATTTTTCTGGTAGTTGTTTTTTTCGCCTTGGCATATATAGTGCAAAATGACCACTTGCCTGCCCAACCCCCACTTGAGATCGAAAAGGTGCCCCCTTCCAGAAAACACTTCTTGACTGACGTAACCAGATAGTGGGCACGGTCGAGCTTTTACGTGTTTTACGTGCTACGCAGCTCTGTGTAAAACTATGAGTTCTATAAAAGCCATGAGGTACATTGGCTAGTTGGTTGCAAGGAGCTGTTGGTTGCAGCACGCTATTGAACAAAAAAGAACGTGAGAAAAAGACTATTGTGTAGCGCGTGTTTGCATATTTTGTGTACCCGACACCTGTAGCCAGTTAACGGTTGTTTGGTAAGCAATTAAGGATCATAACTGCCCGCCTGTGGGAAAAAAAGGCCTTTTCTGAACAAGTCCGGCCAGGACATGCGACACAATATCGAAATTCGAGACGCTATGGCAATGAATCCGCACGCAATTTCAAACAAGCTCTCCAAGAAGAAGCCTTCGCCCATTATTTCGCTTTCTTCACATACATGCACTGCGAATACAGAGAAAATATAACTTCATTGCGCTCTTGAGTATCCAAGCGATAGCCCTAGAGTTAGTTGTTTTCAGATGAACATAAAGGGAAGATCTTCTCAGTGTAGCGCGGAGACACAAATATAAATAAGCAGCTTGAAGGACGATGTCACGAAGACTAGTTAAACAGCGGGGCTGATGCAATCATATGGCTGTTTTATTGCACTGCATGTAACGTTTGTCGGCGTATAGCATTATGCTGATGGCGCCGCATCCGTGAGGAGCGCCACGACTGACGCGATACATGCAATCCTTTCTCCGCGCGTATTCGTTTTGCAACGACCTGCTCATACTCGCAGGTTCGGCAGCTTGTTCACCACATCTTCGGGTCTGCTGCTGAACAACTACATGGACGCGTTCGTCAAGCATGACGACGACGGCGCTCCGACGGCCAACCTTCTGGGCACGTCCAAGACGCCGATGACTTCGATGGCGCCCGTCATTGTCACCGAGGAGTCTTCCATAACACCGGTGCATTCGGTCTTCGGCGGCTCTGGCGGCATGGCGGGATTGTCTGCCATTGCCCAGGTAAGCTTGTATAGCAGTGAGTTAACCATTTACGAAGGCGAAAGTACATCTGCTTCATCAAACGCGCAAATTGACCTTCGGTGCCAGCGGTGTCAACGAGAGTGATGCAAGAAACCATGTGTTGGCGTCGCCCTATGACACCCTCATGACGTCACACTTATAACGTGTGACACATAGTGACGTCATCACGCGACATCGTCGCTTGAGCAAAGGTGGGCTGATCTCGGCGGCATAGCTATACCACGCCTTCAAATTAATGCGAGAGCTTGAAGCTAGGAGGCTCACTAAGCTTTCTAAACTGATTTTTATTTCGAAAACGCGTGATCACAATTTGCCTATACTTATAGTATATGGATTAAAAGTGGACGCACTTGCTCTTTAACGACACCAATAAAAACGCCACTGGAGAACATTCAATAATGAACAGATTGATTTCTGTTAACAGAACATCGTAATGGTTTTAATTTGTGCGCAGAAATTCGAGTTATGCTTTTTCACCCACACGAGTGACAAGCTTTAAAAAACGTGCCGCGCTGTCAACCGCGCAGAGCGCACCCGTACCCGAATAACGGCAGTGAGGTTTGTGAATATTCTGGCTGTGCAAGCGTAATAAACTCGACCTTCTATTGTTAGCTTGCACGGGCCCTGCAACAATTCTTCTGCGCGGTGAGAAACAGTTGCTGACCGGCAGTCTAGGCGCCTGCGAGCATAGAGTCTCCCAAAATTAACTAGAGGGCACTCTGGCGCTGCGATCGTTCAGTGACCATCGGAATGATGGGTAGTACACACATTTGCCTAGTCTTCGTACTTGCGGGCAGCGAATCGTACTTGCGGCTTCGTTTATTGCTGGTTACGGTTTTGTTTTGAAAGAAAGAACAAACCATTTTTAAACTTAGTGACTTGATTCGAAATAGTAAGCCTAAAAAATAAGGTTGTGAAGCGCAAACGGTGAACATTCGCTAATTTATGTTTTCGTGAAAAAAAAAACAGCTCCAAGCCCACACGAACACACACGGAGCCAGAAGCAGGCCAGAAGTACGAAAATTAGACAAATGTGTGAACCACCCATCATTCCCATGCTCGCTTAAGCGCCGCGTATTGCAGCTCCCATGAACACTAGCGCCAGAGTTCTCTCTAGTGTATATTAAGAAACTCTATGCCTGCGAGCACGCGATCCAGGGATTATGGCTTAGCACGCGACATGTAATTTAAAAATATTCCTCAAAGTCAGCTAGAAATAGTTCCCTCTTCTTTCTCCAGATAATGCCATGTGCCCAAACGACCGCAACATGCACCCAAACTCGCGGATGTTGGACGATTTGAGCATCGCAAGCTGCGTATAGTTACCGTGACCGCTGCCGAAACCGTGCACCACGTGTTCGCGCGTGGGATCGCGATCCCACAAAATAGGCAACGCTATGTAAAGACAAAAAAAAATTACGGCATATTCACGGGGTGAATGATGATGAATGGGCGAAGCTCCGGAGGGATTCATCGGTAAACTGTGAATCTTCCGTGTAATTCGCCCAGTCGATCATCATGTAAAGACGTGAGAAACGCTGTGTGTGTATATACACAAATCAACTTTTATTTGTTCTCAGATGATGGATGGCTTGCGATGTCCCTTGCCTCGCGCGCTCGCACATCGGGATTCTGTCTGCGAGCGCGCGCTGCTGCCGCCTTGCGCTCTCTCCGCTGTGCAGCCTTATCCATCCGGCGACTCCGAGCGCGCGCCAACAGCGAACGGATTTTATTACAACGCCTCCCTAGCGTACGTCGCCGCACTAAATCGAACGATTGCCTTCAACCAATGACACGCACCATATGTGACATCATTCCTATTTTATAAGATCTCGCGTCTTTCATCAACTACAAGTACCGCTTTCTAGTTTATAACATCTTGCATCTTTTCATCATCAGCTACAAGTACCACCATCTAGTAAACACTACAAGAACTAAACGAGAGGTGGCTACATACAGGAGACGGTACCGCCATCTAGTGAACACTGTAAGAACTAAACTAGAGGTGGCTACATACAGGGGACGGTACCGCCATCTAGTGAACACTGCAAGAACTAAACTAGAGGTGGCTACATACAGGCTACAGGGGACGCACAGCCCACGCCCTAAGGAGCTTCGCCCCTAAAAAAATGGCCACATATCTGCACGTTTCACTGCAAATGTTGTCGAAAGACGATAGTCTTGCGTCTGGAGACGAGAGAGTGAACAAAACGTTTCTTTGATGTTCTGCGTGAGAAAATGAGTGAATGGTATTCTGGAAGAGCTGCGTTAGAGAGTCTCTATCCGTGCAGCGAAGGCGAACGAGCGCATTGAGGCACGTTAGACACGAGCGCTATCTGGCAGTTATCTTTGAAAACGAAGGAAGGCGTGCGCGCGTGTTTCGGAGGCGATAAGGTGTAGAACGCAAAGCGACGGGCAGGTGCCACCTCCGTGTTGTCTTAGCAAAGCGTTGGAAACACTCGCCTTTGTGAGCATCGCGTTGCATTGTCAGCGCAGCGTGATAAGCGCTACGGTCCTTAGAATTAATTATGTATGCCTTCTTTAGTATAAAGACACACATACAGAATAGTGACGTGTTGTTATTGTGCCTCAGATATTCGCAATAATAGCTTTTTAATTGACAATCGCACAGGTATGAACGCTGAAACTTGAGCAATATTGGTGGGAGTTGCAGAGAGGGGGTTGGATTTTAGCCGTTTGAGGTATCAGTTCGGCAGACAAGCAGACAATTGTACAGACAGACAGGCCAAAATTTTTGCGTCGAAGTACCCCAAGAAAGACTATCGTCTTTAAAAAACAAGGAAAAAGTGTTCAGGTTCAGCACGCGCACGTGACGTAACTTCTTCCTGCGCGCTCATCGGGACGAAAGAAGAAAGAAAAAAAAACACAGCGTGAAACTAATCTCTGGCCCATCGTAGTTGACAAATTCTAACAGTTTTTGTGGCGCTCAATCAATTGAAACAATAAACACAGATAAGGCGATTCGGTGGTTGCTTAAAGAAGAGTTGCAGTGCCCCTTAATGTGGCGGTACTCCGACACGGCAGCTCAGTTAGCATTACCAAGTGGTCCACCACGGCAGCGTCACTCGCATTTAGATGGAGGCGGAAAGGTAGAGGCTCGTGTGCGCTGTGCAATGTCAGCGCACGATAAAGAACACCAGGTGGTAGAAATTTGCGAGACCCTCCACTCTGGCGTCTCTTATAATCGCACCTTGGTTTTGGGTCGTTAGAGCCCGAATATTAATAGCATAACCAGGTGGTGCTTATATAGCCTGCTCGAATATGACGACGAGGCCGGGGCGTTTTTTATAACCTCTGCGGATGAATACCGAAAAGAATCTGCATGCGATGACACTAACGTGACATCACAATCTTCGCGTCCCATTTATGTTGGTACTCTGCAGCGTGACTGTTTCAGTGACGTCAACACACGCAATCTAATGACGTCTCTCAAGACACCGCCATTATAAACATTGAAGTTTACACTATAGCCTCGGCAGACTTGACCGATCTCTCGATACCCGCAATGTTCGTGCTCAAAAAACAAAAGCGGTGTACGAGCTCGGCTGGTAAACTGTGCGTACTCTTTCTCCGTGCAGCTCCTCACGTGCGCCGCAAAGTACGCGTACCGCGAGTGCGCTCTCAGCGAAGCCCGAGTTCACCCAGAGCTGATGTCTGCGAAGTTCGTGGTCAACGTCGCCGGCAATGACACGGATTTGAAAGCGGTAACTTCTACTTCCGCAGTTATTCGGGCTACAACGTGTTCCCTGTACGGCGTTCGAATAATGTAGCAGCCATAATGTGTCTAAGAAAAAACGAGTCCCTCTTCCATTCCTCTTATTTCGATCATTCACGGAGAGAGTCTCGTTCCGACAGACTTAATGCCTTCCGCAAGTATGCAAGGGTTTATTAGTGAGTTCCCAGCTCGTATAAAGTTCTACGTGAGTCCAGCTGGCAGGCGAAGGAAAAAAAAAAAATCTGCCACACTCGTCGTGGTAGCTACGAGCAGTGCTGGCTTCCAGGTTTACGGCTAGGTGGCGTGAGTCGCCACCTGATCAATAATATGGCACAGCCCTATCCTATCCATGCGAAGATTAAATGCCATCTGGCCGGTGCCATCGGACGAAGGAGCATGAAGGGGGGCTGCGTCACTCCGGCAGCACCTGTACACTTTGACGAAAAGGGCGCGGCTGAGCACCCTATAAGAAGTTAAGGTTATTTAGCTGCTCATACCCTTCTTTAAATGCTGTACTCCCACTGATTCACGTTCAAGCGACACAGCACAAAAATTACTTCGCTGTCGAAAGCGGCGGCATTTTTTTTTTATGCTGGCGCATTGTTAGGTTACGCTAGATCATATCCTAACGATGTGGGCTGCTTTGTCTAGCCCTGCAGTTTGTTGAAGCCAAATTCACTGATTCGTCCATACGTCGAAGTTGTGCTTTTTTATATTTTGTTTGAGTTACCGTAATTACACGATAGACGTCGACCCATTTTATCTAATTTGAAATAGGATGTCGATAGGAGGAGGGGGGGGCGACACAATACCAAAACCGGAATAAACGAGAAATCAGGCGTGCTGTGGCATGATTACGACGTTATGTTTACGTTCCGGATCTACCTGTAACATATACCGAATTTTTTTCGTCTGTAATACGCACCCTCAGCAATGATTCACAAAAAATTGTCTAAACGGGCCCACGTTTTATTGCGAGGTTACGACATGTTTTAGTTGCGAATATACCTGTTAGATATACCGTACTGTTTTTTCTACAAACGCACTCTCAGCAACAATTTTCGAAAAAAATTTCGAAAATTTTTTAATAGATCCCGCTTATTTTTGCAAAGCTAGCTCTCTCGCAAAACTTAAAAACGCTGCCGTGAAGCCGTCTTTAAACACTCATATTACATTATTTCTTTTATCAACGTAATGAATAAATTTTTTTTGATATGCAACCGGATTTTTTCTTGCCCTGCGATATTCGGGAGTTGGCCTACACTTTAGTCGATTGATTTAATATTATGTAATATTTGTACATAAAGCGTACGTATATTACGGGATAAGGTCTGTAGCCAGGATATATATATATATATATATATATATATATATATATATATATATATATATATATATATATAGCCATTCATGCTGAATTGAAAATCGAGGCGTACATCAAAACCGCGCAAGTGGATTTTTATCTGTAGCGTTCTTATTTGTACCTTGCATGGGCAGAAAATAAAAAAAAGTTAAAAGTCCGAAAGTGCGACACATTTTAGGCCCTCGCCACGATTAAGACATCCAGCATACAGCCTTTTCAACCATTTTCGGGCAAGTATCGACTGCCCGCCGTACCAGCTGTTAAAGATACTGGAGGCTGTACATACTACCCGTATACTTGTCTACGTAAGGAACTCTAATCAATGCGTCTTTGTTTCCTTTTCATCTGAACAGAAAGAGAAGCTCCGGTCGTACGGCCACGAGGTGTCCGAAAGATTCATTCCCAGCACAGCCATAGGAATCATGCCAACGCGCCGAGCGACCTACTTGGTCATCAACGACACAGAGCACGCAGATGGCGGAAACACGGGTGGTTCCATAACTAGCCCCGTAGGATAAGGAGTAATAGGAGTGGAACCAATTAAAAAAAACTATCCAAACAAATATAGTGGCTTGTTAGAGTGTTAGGGGCTGTGTTATCTTTTCAAGCGAAGCATGATTGACAGATTTCGAAGGCGGTGCACGTATACGCACACTACTGCGAATTCGGCACGGGGGACTCCCGAATTTCAAGAAAGCCTCCCGATTGCGTGGGCACTGCAGTAAATCTGTCGAAAAGCGTCCCCAACACCAACGCGATAAAAAAATAAGAGCAACAATTTTCTGGCCTTTATCTATTACGTGCAAAGCTCTCAAGTCACTTTTGCCTCAATACCTCATTGTAACGCGAAAAAGCGTAGTAAGATTTAGCAAGGGGCTACTATAGCGGTCACGGGTCCCAACACATCCGGATTACGATGACGTGCGCATCGCATATTTACAAGTAAAAGAATGACAGTTTGTCTAAAAACGTTATTGGCAATCATTTAGAGCTGTTCATGACGTCAATGCGGCCCTGGGAAATAATAAAAACGTATGCCAACTTTCTTTTGTCGCATACTAAATTTTGATGCTTTCTGTTAATTTTTTTTCAACTTCGCAGCACTCCTGCTCCCCTTTTCCCTTTGCTATCCCTGCGCTGTACTTCAACAATGCATGGATCAGTAATGCTTGGCGCTTCTTGGCACATACCCAGTGTTTGTGGCATATAACCTTTGCTGTACATATTAGGTCATGCTTTAACCTCTCCCCTTACCTTCCTCCTCACACTTTCCTTTTCCACTTCCTTGCTCCAGTTAGTTGCTAGGCAACTGCGCGTTGACGTCATAGCCAGGTGCTGTTTATGGTCGACGCTATACAGAGCAAGAAAAAAGCTTTAACAGCTCCGCCGTTTAAAAACGCCGCGACGCGCTCAATCTAAAGGAAGAATGACAACAATGCCAACGAGCACACATAGTGTACTTACTACCAGTGGCGTAGCCATGAGATATGGCACATTAGGCCCCGTTGTAGCTTACTGTAGAAACAGTAAGCCACAACTATACAGGGTTCCCCAGCTAACTCTAGCCAGAGTGCAAAAATAATTCCGACGCACTTTATAACGAAGGCGACCAAATGCACGGACTACTGCGCAAAATAAGTCGAACCAGTTTTAAGTTAGTGCTTAATTGCATAATTAGAGAAGATCACTTAACACACTTTTTCAAGCGATAAAGCTAGACAAAAAAAAAGAGACCCTAATGAGAAATGTAGAACGGTTTGCCAAATCCCCGAATGTATAGTGTGTTTTGACACATATCCCGATATCTACGACTCGCTCGCTGGATTCCGTGCCGAACGGTTGTGCCCTCGCGATCTCCGACGTCAGCGCAGCTCTGGCCGACTGGGCTGGCCCTACGTCATGTCCTGACGCCGATCTCCGACGACAGCGTAGCTCTGACCTACTGGACTTGCTCTACGCCATCTCCTGACGCCGACAAGAGCTCTCGCAAGTGGTGCCCCGTCCTCGGACTCCTGTGACCGTGTTTCCATCTTTCCTATCTCTTCTATCCCCTCGATATGTCTTCACTCGCTGGCTTACTCATCTCTCTTTCTTTCTCTCTACACCTTTATTCCAATCCTTTTAATCCCTCCTCACCCCCATCCCTTGTGAGCTACTGCTGAGGTGTCGCACCCTGATGCAGACAGTTGCGGGGCTCACCTTTCTCTTCTTTTCCTTCTTCTAAACATAAACACTCCCCCCCCCCCCCCCCTCGCGATATATACAAAACGAACAGGTGCAAATGTTGTGACTCCAGAGCCACTTTAGAGCATACGTTACGTGAATGTAGCGGGATTAGTGCCCGTAACGAGTATGCGGCCTCTGGCCATAGCCTTTGCGCGCGCTGGGAAGCAGCAGTGCTCAGCCCCGTCCTCGAAGGTAAATGTGGGCCGTCCAGCGGGCCGAGGAAGCCGCCAGGATTCAAGGACTCCTGGCCGTAACCTAGGCGAGGCCATTGGCCCACCCCACCAACTCGGCGGACTCTGAAGAAAGTTCTTTCCTCCCTCCTCCTCCTCTTGCTGACCACATGCAGGTGCCCGCAAAGTACAAAATATTACAGATCTTTCGCACAGCGCTTAGGCCAGTGTGGTAATGATACGAAGGATGCGACCTTGCGTTCGTGAAAAATTGCCCAAAAAATGACAGGGTCCACTTAATAAATTACGTTGCACGATACCCAAGCCAGGCGCGATTTGCGTTGTCGCAGACAAAGACGCGTTCGTACTGGCTGAATATTTTCTGAAAAAAAAAATCACAGCATATCTACGATGATGAGTAGAGCGAAGCTTCGAAGGGTCATATCGGCAAACCATGACTCATGCTCCACTGGCCGGGTCCATCCGTCCGTCTAGTGAACACTAAAACTACCGCCATCCAGCGGACATTCCAAGGACTAAAACGACGGGTGGCTACGACATACAGGAGACGCACGACCCACACCTTAAAGAGCTTCGCCCCTAAATATACAGAAAAATAAAGCCTTGCAGCGTCTTTATTTTCCGGAAGACAAAAATGCATTATTCTGAAATCACTCTATCAAGCGTACAGAAACATATCTGGGAATGAACTTGAAGGCCTCGAGAATGACTTTAACGCTCGCAGCGCCATACAAGCTGAACAGCGAAGTGGAAGACACGATGCCTGACGTTGTCAAGTGCAAGTTTTTTTCCCCCTTAATTTCTGGGCGATGTTGCCACTTTATTGGTGATAAAGTGGCAACTTGGCCACAGTGATAAAGTGGCGCACAGGGTGTGCTGGTACGCGTCCCTAATAACTGCTGTGCCAAAAAAAAAACCCTTAAAAAATGTAGTCAAGATAACGCAAAAACAACGCACGTCGTTGTCATCGTTCTTGTATTTCTTTTTTTTCTGTTTTTGCCGCATTGTAGTTCATTGTCACGTTGCACTTGCCGGTCAGAGGTACTTGAAGGCGACAAAATACGACAGTACAGGGTGATAAACGTTAAACTTCATGTTTTTTTTTAATTCAGTGCTGGGAGCTACATCAATACCATGCTTGCTTTTAAAGGGGCACTAAAGGCAACTATTAAGTCGACACGATTGTTAAACTAGCTTTCACTGTGATGTTAATTATTGTTTTACATTAGTGTACCTTTAGGCTATAAGCGACACACAGTTGATTATTACACCTTTGTCAGCCACTCCATTATTCTAGATCGAATAATAAACATCATAGAGGCTGCAGTGAGCGGGCATGTTTGTAAAAAAATTAATGGCAATCGCGTTTGTAGACTGCTCAACTTCGAAGAATACTTCTGACCTCTGCGTGCTTCGAGATATCCGCATGCAATGTTAGCTGTGGAAGACATGAGTGGTTTAAATCATATTTCTGATTTGCCAGAAATCTTTAATTGATTTTGATTGATTTGTGGGGTTTAACGTCCCAAAACCACCATATGATTATGAGAGACGCCGTAGTGGAGGACTCCGGAAATTTTGACCACCTGGGGTTCTTTAACGTGCACCCAAATCTGAGCACACGGGCCTACGACATTTCCGCCTCCATCGGAAATGCAGCCGCCGCAGCCGGGTTTTGAACCCGCGACCTGCGGGTCAGCAGCCGAGTACCTTAGCCACTAGACCACCGCGGCGGGGCATCAGAAATCTTTATCCAGCGAATGAGTTGTCACCCCACTGTTTCTTTGTGGTGCTTTATTAAAGGAACACTAAAGTGAAACAAAAAATTAATTCAGACTGAAAACACCCGAGCCGTCAATTTTTTCGCCATAGGTTTAAAATAGATAACGAAGCCTGTCAAATGTATCGATTTTCGATTTCCCGCGAAGGTCTCTGATAGTGACGTCATGGATTTTTTTTCGAACTTTGGCTACATTTGTTCAACGAAATGTTCTGAACACACGCAACACCAGAAAAAATACAGGACAGGGAAGGAGTAGAACAGAAAGAAAAGACGGCGCTGACTCACAACTGTTGTTCATTGGAAAAAACGGGGTGAAAAATATTGGCAATATATATAGGTCCCGGCAGCCTACACCACAACATGCGCAGAATACGAGGTGCACCGAGGTAGCCGGGACCTATATATATTGCCAATATTTTTCACCCCGTTTTTTCCAATAAACAACAGTTGTGAGTCAGCGCCGTCTTTTCTTTCTGTTCTACTCCTTCCCTGTCCTGTATTTTTTCTGGTGTTGCGCTGTAAGAAAGTTCACGATGGATCCTAACCAACTGGCCCGACTTACCGTCTTACTACATTATGGACTACGTGGGTTTTTGTAAACACCGTCAATATCTATGACGTCACGGTGACTGGTGCGGGAACTTCAATTCAAAGTGGCATCGCCATACGCGTTTTCTTTTTTTTGCGTTTTCTCGCTTACAAAAAGTATTTTCCCAGCACACTCTTTTATTATAAAACTAACTAATACGCAAAAAGTCAGTCTGTTTAGTGTCGCTTTATACTACTATGTATATGAATAGATGAAAGTTTGCAAACATGTGGCTCAGAGCCGTAGCCAGAAACTTTCCTTCGGGGTGTGGGGTGGGTGGGGGGGGGCTCCTCAAATTGGTCAATTTTCACTCTGTATGCCATGGCAAAAAAAAAAAATTGGGGATGGGGGGCGGCGGCGTTTCACTCTCTGGTTACGCCACTGATGTGGCGTGTTAAAAGCAACTAGCCGGTTAATAAGCCTCGATGTCCTCCTTTGGCTTGCGCACACCGAGGCACTCCAAGCCGGCGCCGACGTTTCGACAAACGCACTCGCCTTCTTCAAGAAAGCGACTGCAAGCCTCTAGGAAGACTACTTCACTTCACTTCACTTCACTTTATTTCCTTAAAGACCCCCGAGGGGGTATGAATTATTATTCCTCCTTCAAATAATTTTTTTTTATCGACACGGGTCAGACTACGGTCTTGAAGAAGACAAGTCCGCTTATCGAAAAGCCGGCTTACTCCATTTTTACGACGTTTTCATTGCGTCAAGTTCCCACCTTCCCCCGCCATCTGCCTTTTCAGTACAGGAATGAAAGACACAGCCCACCTGCACTGTAGCTCCCGGTAAGTCTCGCATCTTGCGTGCCGTGCACCGGATGAAGCCACGGCTATGAAGCACGCGGCGAGCCACCGCCGACGCAGAGACGACAGCGGGTACCGCGTATAGTAGCAGAGCAGGCAGTAGTAACGTGGCACACTCAGCGTCCACACGGGAGGCGCCTCTTCAGCGACCATGAAGTGTCGTTGGCATCTCGATATTCGTTGCAGAAGACACTTTTTCACCTGTTTCAGATGGAGAACGCGCATGCGCAGTGCCGGATTTATCGCCAGAATCTGCAGGTCACCTTGCACTGATGGAAGGGTCGTCAAAGGTTGTACTTCGCACTATTTCACGCGTCAGAGTGCACGTGTTCGGTTGACGACGAGCGCACACGGCTGCGAGGGCGACTTGTCGACGGCAACGACCTTTCGCAGAAGCGTTCAATTGTGCAAAAAAGCACTGCGGCGGCTTTAAAAATATGGCGGCCGTTTCCTTGGTTACTCTTTTTCTGTCCTTTCTTGATGCTCGGTTAGTGGAAACGCAGGACTCGGGATAAAGCCATGTTGCTTTCGAAGTCTGTGCTTGTTCCACACGCTGCAAACGTCTGCGGCATTTCCCCTGCGCAACCCTCACCTCCAACTCCGGCCACCGCGCATGGAGACTACACACATCGTTCACATTTCACTCTCAGACAAATACCGTGCAGTGTGCAAGGAGCTGTGTGATCTTGTATACCGCTTAGACTTTTGCAAAACATCACGGCAACAGCGAAATATCGAATTAGTGTCCAAATGGTTACCATAATAAAGACTCCCCTGCACTTGGTTGACATATTTTTGCAGGAAACGACACCTAGGCACTATTACAATTTAATGAATTGAATGCACACAAAATATACAGGTACCATGATGCGTCCCTTCCTTGGTGTCCTCGTCTGTGCTATGCAGAATGCTAAGTAACTGTTTTTCCGTTATGCACTGACAAGCCAACATCGCCCCGCTCACCGACGCAGAAGCCAAGAATCAAGGGTAAGCAAGTTACTGTAGTAAACGCGGCCTTTTGTAGTACCTCCTTCCGCCCCCCCCCCCCCTCTTGTTTAGCTTGCACTGCATTCGTTGGGTCGAAGAGAGCGAGAAATCGCTCAAATCTTTCAACAAATCTCTGCGATCCCACTCCTACTTGATGGATTTGAAAAGCTTTCATGGGAATTCATTAGAACGAGAATGAACTCCGATTGTGGTCACTTGATAATTACACTGAATAGTGCAGCAGGGCATCTTTAAAGCATAAAAATTTCATGCACTATTTAAAACTTTTGTTAACTATAATAAAGTGATTATAAGACTCTTGCTCGCCCCAACTACCAAGTTTTTCCCAAAGCACAAATCATAATACGAAACATCAACTTTGCCTGCTTCAGTAGGTGCAGCTAAAGCTATAAATTGCTTACTACAGTGAGATTTGATGCTTTATCATTCTTCGTTTAGGAGTATTCTATCAAGCATTGTAGAAATATTGACTACCTAAATTTTAAATTAAGAACATTTCACAGTACTGCATGAAAGTTCGAGAAGGTGAAAAGGGCACCGTCCCAAGATTCTATTTCTGTAAACAAACTTTAACTTAGCAGCATCAGCTATGTAAACTACTGGTTGACTACAACACTGCAGAATGTGACACAAAATAATGCACATAACATTCACTTGCAGCTATATTGGAAGAAATCAGCAAGTCACTTACAAACAGTGGCCATAAATTCTTTATTGATTAGATTCCACATGTGCCCTGTCACCATTAGCATCGCACAGCATGTATGTGTATCACCATGCACACACACAAGCAACAGTCAAACGAGGGGGGAGGCCTCTTGATGACAAAACACCAAAAATTTGTTTTTTTTTCCTTCTTGCTCAGTCACTGAAGTGAGGCTTGGCAAAGGGATACAGCACAGAAAAATATGCAACCACATTGAAGGTGTTGATTGCACACAAGGTGGGGGAGTTCCTACAGTCATTTTGCATCTTTTCTTCAGTCTTTCTTTTTTTTCCTTCATTTACTACTAAGGTGCCTGGTCCCAGTTCAGAACACTTGAATAAGGAATGTGGTTGAGCCATCGCGCCATGTCGGGTCGTCTGCAATCTGCGCTCGGCACATAGGACACGTCCGTTCTCGGTCGAACCACACTGACACGCACTCTTCGCAGAAAATGTGCTAGAAAAGAGACGAGAAAAAAAGGCACTTAACACAATGGCCCCCTTCTCACAAGTCATTAATTGATAACTCTATATTCAACCACATAACATTGCATTGATTGATTTGTGGGGTTTAACGTCCCAAAACCACCATATGATTATGAGAGACGCCGTAGTGGAGGGCTCCGGAAATTTCGACCACCTGGGGTTCTTTAACATGCACCCAAATCTGAGCACACGGGCCTACAACATTTCCACATAACATTGCAAACAAAGGTGTGCATGCAGGGTAGGTACCACGTGAGACAAAGGAGCTCATCACACTCGAACTTGAGTTAACATTGGGTTGTATTGGGAGTATGAAACATTAGGTGTTAACATCGGGAAAAAGAGAAATTATCTAAAAGCATCAAAGAGTTGGCCTATTCTAAGTTAACTAAACTTAGCAGAATTCATTAGGCGATACAAGAAATGCAGCATGTGAAAAATCAAGCAAAATCTCTAAAACGTGAAAATAAACTAATAAAAAAAACTCGCACATGCACCATTAGTAGCCAAGATCAGTTACAGGTGGCTTGCATAAATTAAAATATCCAACGACGTAATGCCATGAAATCGATACAGAAGTAATTGAGGAAATGTGAATCCCAAAACCTGATCATTTTGGACATCTCCAAGAATGGCTAGTACAGTGAAAAAAATTAATTATAGAGAAAAGACGCATTTCGCTACAGTGTAGTTTACTGCTGTTTCTGGTAAACATGCCAAGATACTAAATGCTGTGACCCAAAGGTTGTTTATATATATATATATATATATATATATATAGAAACCTTAGTTCTACTCACATTGCACATCAGCATTGTTGGCCGCTTGAAGTCATCCTGGCAGATTGGGCACGTGTCACCAACTGCTTTAGTTTGCTCTGATGTAGGCGGACGGCCATAATTCTGAAAGAATACCATCGATTGCACAAGGATGGTAATAAATGAGGTTGGCAGACATGGCTGACTCTAGGGTCGCCATACGACCCGGCAAAAATGTAAACATTTGTAGATGATAACAGCAAAATTTTTGTGCAATCATCAGGACAAGTTCTGCAAATAGATGGCATGAGAATCGTGAAATAAAAATGATATTCTGCGATAAAGGGGAGATGCCAGTCTAAAAATGCAAGTTCTTTTCAAATTTACATGCTTTTAAATTCACTAATTCACAAGTTTGGTTTCTACACTTTCATAACAAAAAAAAAACTGGATTGTAATTAAACTCCAATTAGATTAAATTTGCTTTATCAAGCACACGGTGGCTACCAAAATAAGAAGAACTCATTGTCTACAGTCCCCTGAATTTGTCACCTGGCTGCTTGCCATTGCATTTGACATGAGGAGTCCACTAAAGCCACATGCTCAAAATAACAATGACTGCCGAGCTCTCATGATGAAAAAAATTATATAAAAAACATACCTCTGCCGAATAAATGAGCTTTGACTAATATCTTTAAAATGCATTTTTCTCATGATCCTTTTTTGGGCGACTCCTTGAATTTCGACATCATGGTATTGGTACTTTAATTAGTAAGATCAGGATGAAGTTTTACCCAGATATTCCTTAACATGTGAAGAATGCAAGTATCTATATTAAAGCTTGAGATCGCCTGTATAATTATTAAAAACCTTAAGCAAGCAATTAGTATGGGGTGAGAATTCCAAGAATTGTCACATTGTCAACTTCTTCTTGACATATAAAATATACTAGATGCACTTTTTTCGTAAATATCTGCATTCTACAGTTAATGCAGAACAAGATGAGCCCTCAATGAGTCAGAACAAGGTTATTGGCATAAAGAGTCTGTCCAAGACGAACTATATTTTACACACTGTCATGGCACAAAAGAAGAACTGTGCAACTTACTTTAAAACTAATTACACACTTGAAATCAGCATAAAAGCCTATATATAAAGTGAAAAAATTTAATTGCCCAAGGCTACAGATCAATAAAACTTTTTTTTCAAGTTGCATCTCCCCTCCATATCTAGACTAATAAGCAACAACTTTAACTGTGTAACCAGTGAAGGCACAGATGAATTTCAGAAAAGGCAATCTGCTTATAGTACATGTTAAGTTAGTGCTTTTTTTACAGTTTGTGTAACCGAATGCTGTGGTGACTAAGATATATATATTCAAACAAGCGGGACTTACCACATTTGACAGAGCTTGAATGAGACCTCTTTTCCAAGCTCTGGTCTTGGAGACAACATCTGCACACTGGAAATAAAATATCGAGCTTCAACACATACACCCAGTTTGGAGCATGCACTGAGTGCTTGTTTGGTAACAAAACCCTGACAATGTTATTGTGTGACACTTGGCTTAACTGCCATCCATGGGCGACTTTCTTTTTCTCTACACTCACTATTGCACACCAGCAGCAAGGTAGCATATACTTTATAATGCAGAAGTCAGTGAGCTGCCTAGGTGCATGTGCGGAACTCGAGCCAGTCTCTGGCTCTTGCACTCGCGTTGTCCGAAGGTACGAAAATCGAAAACTAGTGTGGGTCGCAAGGAGAGTGTTGGCAACGAGGGAGCATAGCCCCCATTTCCCATAGTTTTAATTTTGCCACATGTGGTGTCCTGTGCATTGCCCTACACCGCTTGTCTTTGATCCAAGTTTTAAAACACTGCTGCTCCTTTGAACACAATAGCAGCCTACCCAATGCAGTCACTAGTGGAGCATTGGCCTTTAGAGCATGCCCTTTGTGCCATATGGTGGATGATAGCAAACACGTTGAAGCCCCCCCCCCCCCCCCCCCCACACACACTCTGTGTAACACCAGATGTAAATGGTGTGTATAATTAGCCCACTGCTAGTACGCCATACGCCCTCCAGCTGCTTATGGAGGGCGTATGGCGCAAGGCAGAATTGTGTAATGCGGTGCGCTTTGGAGCGAGGCGTCACAGATTTGATTTCGAGACACGGGCTAAGAATATTTTTTTATTCTGAATTATTTTTGATATTTGTCTTTTTACATACATACATACAAACAGGACATAATGGAGGCAACAATGGCAAGTACTTTCGGGGTGTGTGCATACAATGTTTATCCCAATAAAGGCCTGTAGTGTGCAATAGACTATACTACAAACCTTGCAGAGGAGGTATGCACCAGAGAGGACCATGCTGAACAACTTGCCCGCACCAGTGTACGACTCCGAGAAGTAATACAGCCAGTGCTGCATAGGCATCACTGATCGGTACAGCTGGGAGCAGCATTCTACAAACAGGTAGTAGCGGCCCTGCAAAAGACAGCACATAAAAATTGGCTCCAAATCTGCATGTTACACCGCAAATGTCATCGAAAGAGGATAGTCTTGCATCTGGAGAGAGTGAACAAAACATTTATTTGATGTTCTGCGCAAGAAAATCAGTCAGTGGTATTCTGGAGGTGCTGTGTTAGAGTGCCTCGAGCATGTAGCGGAGGCGAACGAGCGCATCGAGGCATGTTAGACACAAGTGCCATCTGGCAGTTATCTTCAAAAACGAAGGCGTACAGCTCGCGGAGAAAGATGCGCAGCAGTCTCGGAGGTAATAAGGTGTAGAACGCAAAGCGACGGGCAGGTGCCACCACCGTGACGTCGTAGCAAATCGTTGAAAACACTTTTTTGAGCATTGCGTCGCACTGTCAGCGCAGCGCAATAAACACTACATTCCTTAGAGTTACTTGAGTATGCCTCTTCTAATATAAAGGCAGACATACAAAACATCAAAGCATTGTTGTGGCACCTCAGATATGTGCAATAATTGCTTTTTAATTGACAATCGCACAACTATGAACGCTAATCCTTGAGCAATAATGGTGGGCACTGCGGATGGGGTTGGCCTGTTTTGTGCCGTTTTGTGCCGTTTGAGGTATCATTAGGGTGAACAAACAGACAAATTTACAGACAGACCAAAATTTTTCCGTCCAAGGTCCCTAAGAAAGACTATCGCCTTTAAAAGAAGTCTTAAACCTCTACTCAGCTCGATAAACTAGGAATATAACCACATGACTGCTGAGGGAAACACCAGCCGAGCCTCACATCACGAAGTCATCGCATCAAGCCTGCATCTGCAATAACTACATAACTTGTATGAAAGTTCAATCTTTTCAGGAGTAATTACAGAGTAGAATCTATAACCACCAACTTCCTCATGTTATGTACTGATGTGCGACCTGTTACTGTGCTTTTTCTCACATTTTTTTTTGCACACCCTCACCTGCGTGAACTATTTCTCTGCAGTAAAGTATGAAATAATAAAGAAACAAACATTCAGTGTATGTTAACTGCAATTCTGCGCAGTAACCTCGGGTACATTGTTCAAATGCAATAGGGTGGTCTTTCTAAGCTTCAAGTGCCATTTCTTATGTTTGAATACGAATATCCAAACAGATGTAATTATCTCGTGAAGTCAAGTGTACATATCACTTTCCCTCCTAGTAATCATTCTACGGTACATACCTTACTTTAACATTTCATAACAGTGATGCCTGCAAAATCAAGACGAGATGAACACAGCTAAGTTATACACATAAACCTCCAAATAATAAACCCGGATGTAACAAGATACCGACTATAACGAAGTATATGAAAAATGGTCTTGCAATAGACATAGTGTTAGAGATAAGCATTTAGAGCGAATTTTCGGATATAACGAACTTATTTTAATGTAAGATGCAATTTTGTTATAGTGAGGTTTGAGTGTATACAAAAAGCCTGGATGACACTTAACTTCGCTTTAGAGGGGTGTCACAGAACGAGCGCTCAAAAAGGGCGCGCCGCCAAATTCCCGCGACGAAACGCCGGAGTGATGCCGCGAGGTCAAAAGAAAAAGAGAAAAAGAAAACAAGCTCCCCGGGCACGCTCCCTCTCCTCTCAGAAGCGTGGCTTCGCCGACGAACCTCCTCACCCCACATCGGCGGCCGAGCAAGCACTCGAAATTTCTAGAAGGAAATAGGCGTGGTGGTGCCGGGTTGAGTCACCCGTAGGGGACGGCCCTCGTATCGCCTCGACCTTTCCCCCAGCCTTCGCTGCGCATCGCGCCGACGAAATGATGAGAATTTTCTGGAATGTAGCGCGGAAGGTATTTAACCGAGCAGCGGAGATGAGAGATCACGAGAAGACGGAAGTTAGCGCCAGAGCGCGTAGGGATTCCGCCGTGTAGTCGCAAAGGTTTTATCCGTAGAGGCAAAGCAGCAGAAGAAGATAATTTACACCTGAGGGGTGACGACTCGAGCGACAGGCAAGAGTGTGTGTTTACCGCTATCGAGCGAAGACGCGTGGCAACAGCTGCGTGTGTGAAGCCGACGTGTTTCCAGGCGAAGAATTTTGAAGCTTGGAGAGTGGCCAATTGAAGACGCGAGGTTTCCTGCAGGAGAAACTTCGGCGAGGTTGCCTAGAAGAGAAACTTCAGGGGCATCGGAACGACAGAGGTTTCCTGGAAGAGAAACTTCGAGGGCAGCGGAACGACAACAACGCTGGACTTTGAGTGAGTGATTCTCGGAAGAGTATCATTCAGACTTTTGTTCCAAGAACTTTGGACTGGATAGGTTTTCTATCTCTTTAGTCTTTAAGTGTCTTGGTTGTTCAATGCACGCGACTGCATTGTAGTGCGTATTGTTGTCTGTGTCCTGTTGTTTCGAGTGTGGCCGATTGTACTGTGTAGTACGTTGTTCGATTGGAGACATATTGTGTTCAACTATTGTGGAGTGTGCATACTTGTGTATTGTTTTGATCTGCCATTATTGAGAATATAATTTTGTTTGTTTATCAACTCTCGGCTCTGACTTGTTCTTTGGGCCACAGCCGGCGTCCGCTGGCGCGCCAAAAAGGACCACTTCTAAATTGTCCACGCTTTCGTGGAGCGGTTCGGGGGGACCGATACTTCGGCCTATGGAATTAGCCCGGCGATCGCCTCCCTAATTAACGGGACCTGTGCGACAATTAATCTGGCGTCCGCGACAGGACCTTTTGGTGCACAGTGTGTCCAAAGTAGTGAGAAAGAGCCTCGAGTTGTTGATAGTGCTATCGGAACGATTTTGTGTGTTGCTCAGTGTTCTCGGTTAACGAGTGCAGGAGTGTTCCGATAGACTGATTTAGGCAGATAGTTCTTACACGCGGCAAGGTCTTATTTGCGAGATACGATGGATCTCGAAAAAGTTAGTCGCTCTTGGTGAGAAGATGGGTCTTTCTGGCGCCGAACTACGGAAGTGGGTCACCCAGAAGGAAAAAGAAGAAAAAGAGAGGGCCAAAGAAGAAAAGGCAGCTGAGCTGGAAAAAGAAACGGCTGGCGGTCGAAAGAGCCGAAGCGGAAAAAGAAGCTGAGTTGGAGAGAGAGAGGTTGGCAGCTGAAAGGGCGAGAGAAGAAAGAGAAGCAAAGGAGCGACAGCTGAAAGAAGAAAGAGAGGCAAAAGAACGACAGCTGAAGGAAGAAAGAGAGCAGCAATTGAAGTTGGAGCTAGAGAGAGAGAAGTTGGCAGCCGAAAGGGCGAGAGAAGAAAGAGAAGTGAGGGAGCGACAGCTGAAGGAAGAAAGAGAAGCGAGGGAGCGACAGCTGAAAGAAGAAAGAGAAGCGGAGATGGCTGAAAGGGAACGGCAGCAGCAGCACGAGATGGAGCTCGAGCGGCTCCGTTTGCAACAGCGAAGTGAAACTCCCGTCCAAGCTAGAGTTGAGAGCAGCGAACGGGAAGATCATGGCTTCCGCTTGAACCCAAGCAAGCTGCTCGTAGCGTTTGATGAAAGGAAGGACGACCTTGACGCGTACCTTCACAGATTTGAGACGATTGCAAGGAGGCAGAATTGGCCGGAACATCAATGGGCAACTGCTTTGAGTACCTGCTTGAGTGGTGAAGCGCTCAGTGTGTACGGCAGGCTGACGCCGACCGATGCAGCCAACTACGCAAAGGTGAAAGCTGCTTTGCTGAAGCGATTTAGATTTACTGTGGAAGGATTCCGGGACAGATTTCAAACAGGAAAAACCAGCCGATGGTGAGACGGCTACGCAGTATGCCGCCCGACTTTGCCATTATTTCGACAGATGGATTGAACTTTCAGGCACAGCGCAGGAGTACGATGAGCTTAGAGAGCTACTAATTAGAGAACAATTTCTTACTAGTTGCCACCCAAGCCTGTCGCTGTACTTGAAAGAGAGGAGAGCTAAGTCACTTGAAGACATGCTTGAATTAGCTGATCAATTCTTGGAAGCACAAGGTGGCACTAATTTGGCCAAGGTCAAGAAGGAGTGTCCCGAAGATTCGAAAAATTCGGCACCCGAACAAAAGAAGCGTGCACCGGAGAGTGTTCCGCGATGTTTTCTGTGTAACCGAGTGGGTCATCGCGCGAGCAACTGTCGTACTAACTTTACGAGCCCTACAGTAGTAAAATGTTTTAAGATGTGGTCAGACTGGGCACAAGGCAGACGCATGTCGAAATGGAGCGAGTCAAACTCACCAGGTATCCTGTGTGCAAGCGGCACCGAAATCCGGTAATAATGCCGTCACCGTAGGATTTGTAGAGTTGAAAAATGGGGAGAAAATTCCTATTGTGGGTGCTGTAATGGCAAAACAGCCAACCGGTGTTACGAAGGGAATGCCAACGCTGCCTGGAAAAGTTGCGGGCAAGAAGGTTACGGTGTTAAGAGACACCGGTAGCTCCACTGTTATCGTGCGGAGAAATTTGGTACAGGGAAGATGAGTTAACAGGCAAAACTAAACCAGTTTGCCTAATTGACCGTATGGTTCGGATGCTTCCCGAAGCAGAAATTGAGGTTGAAACCCCGTACTTCAGCGGGAAGGTTACTGCTTTATGCATGACGACCCCCCTGTACGACCTTGTCATCGGAAACATAGACGGGGCGCGAGGACCGAATGATCCGGAATGTTTGGGAGAACACCCTAAGATAGAGCCCTCGCCAACCCAGCGACCGCGAGATACAGTGGAGGAGCAGCCCGTGACGGATCTCACTAGAGCCCAAGGTGAAGCCGCGGCGCAAGAGACAGCGAATGAGAAGATGATCGTGTTGAATGAGTTCACAGGGCCGAGCAACTGGACTTACTTCGGCTCGACCTCAACTGACCGACAATGTAAAGATGACGGAGTCGGCCAGCCAGGCCCAATGTCGTGACGCGAACAAGCGGGTGAATAACCGGGCCGGATCGGTTGAGCGTCATGACCCGTTAGCAGTGTCGGAAGTGACAACGATGGCTGAGACGCTGCCTCAGATAACGTCGTTGGAAGGGGCTCGCCGGAACAAAACGAGCAAAAACAATAAGAAGAGATCGAGAGAGCACCGCAAGAAAGGGCGCAAGCGCCGCTCGAAATACACAGGATAGGTGCTGAGGTGGAATCGAATTGTGTTTGGCAGGGCTGAGTGCCATATGTTGTGTTAATGTTCTTGTTGTCCTGTGTCACAACTGTATGTTGAGCGAGTCAAAATGTTTGCTACGGTGATGTGATGTATAGTATTGTATAATTGTTGTAATGAGAGAACTTTGTACATTTGTATTGTTTGGAATATGTGATGGAGTGTTGCATTCATGTACCTGTGGCTATATTTCATGTGTTGTGGAATTGAATTACAATGTACAATTGTATTGAGCGATCTATTGTGAATGTGAAGTGTCATGAGCGACGGATTGTGTTACAGTCTGTGAGAGTGTGTGGTGTCTGTTCGCGCTCGTTTGTGTGGTTTCGAATATTATGAGATAATATTCTTAAAGTGGGGGGCAGTGTCACAGAACGAGCGCTCAAAAAGGGCGCGCCGCCAAATTCCCGCGACGAAACGCCGGAGTGATGCCGCGAGGTCAAAAGAAAAAGAGAAAAAAGAAAACAAGCTCCCCGGGCACGCTCCCTCTCCTCTCGGAAGCGTGGCTTCGCCGACGAACTTCCTCACCCCACATCGGCGGCCGAGCAAGCACTCGAAATTTCTAGAAGGAAATAGGTGTGGTGGTGCCGGGTTGAGTCACCCGTCGGGGACGGCCCTCGTATCGTCTCGACCTTTCCCCCAGCCTTCGCTGCGCATCGCGCCGACGAATTGATGAGAATTTTCTGGAATGTCGCGCGGAAGGTATTTAACCGAGCAGCGGAGATGAGAGATCAGGAGAAGACGGAAGTTAGCGCCAGAGCGCGTAGGGATTCCGCCATGTAGTCGGCGAAGGTTTTGTCCGTAGAGGCAAAGCAGGAGAAGAAGATGATTTACACCTGATGGGTGACGACTCGAGCGACAGGCAAGAGTGTGTGTGTTTACCGCTATAGAGCGAAGACGCGTGGCAACAGCTGCGTGTATGAAGCCGACGGGTTTCCGGTGAAGAAGTTTGAAGCTTGGAGAGTGGCCATTTAAATACGTGAGGTTTTCTGGAAGAGAAACTTGGGGGCAGCGGAACGACAACAACGCTGGACTTTGAGTGAGTGATTCTCGGAAAAGTATCATCCAGACTTTTGTTCCAAGACCTTTGGACTGGATAGGTTTTCTATCTCTTTAGTCTTTAAGTGTCTTGGTTGTTCAATGCATGCGACTGCATTGTAGTGCGTATTGTTGTCTGTGTCCGTTGTTTCGAGTGTGGCCGATTGTACTGTGTAGTACGTTGTTCGATTGGAGACATATTGTGTTCAACTATTGTGGAGTGTGCATACTTGTGTATTGTTTTGATCTGCCATTATTGAGAATATAATTTTGTTTGTTTATCAACTCTCGGCTCTGACTTGTTCTTTGGGCCACAGCCAGCGTCCGCTGGCGCGCCAAAAAGGACCACTTCCAAATTGTCCACGCTTTCGTGGTGCGGTTCGGGGGGCCGATACTTCGGCCTATGGAATCAGCCCGGCGATCTCCTCCCGGCCCTGCCGTGGTGGTCTAGTGGCTAAGGTACTCGGCTGCTGACCCGCAGGGCGCAGGTTCGAAGCCCGGCTGCGGCGGCTGCATTTCCGATGGAGGCGGAAATGTTGTAGGCCCGTGTGCTCAGATTTGGGTGCACGTTAAAGAACCCCAGGTGGTCTAAATTTCCGGAGCCCTTCACTACGGCGTCTCTCATAATCATATGGTGGTTTTGGGACGTTAAACCCCACATATCAATCAATCGATCGCCTCCCTAATTAACGGGACCTGTGTGACAAGGGGCACTGTGACACATTTTCGAGTAGCTATAGAACGGATTCATTAAAGCGAGCTTATTGTCTCACGAATTCGTCATTGCAAAATATTTTTGGAATCTGCCCAGTACGAGGGGAGTTGCAAAAATTTGTTGCATACTGCAATTGCTTTCTCTCTTCTGTTGTCTTGACAAAAGTGCTGGAAGCTAAGCAGGAAGGGACCTCGATTCTGGTTTTTTGCATCTACCAGGTTTTGTCGCTCGCAGACAATGTTGCTGACATTATATTTTCTTTAACACAGGCTCCAACAATATCACATTAATGTTCAACATAACCACACATTTATTACATGCTGATATTCACTTTGTTATATGCGATAGTAAGCTACATCCACGTCTCTGTATCAATAATCAATGAAAGAGTATGTGGAAAAATGCTTGGGACAAAAATATTTTTCTAAAGATCGAAACAAGTACTACATATTGCCAGTTGGAAAAGAAGCCACTTATTCATACTCGTCTCGGGAAAGAAGAAAGGCAGGCGGGAAGAGCCACGATCACCGCCTTCACGAAAATGGTGATCAGCTTGAGCACAAAGTCGGTGACCACCACGATCCACACCACTTCCAGTCCACCAATGGGCTGGCTGTACGGGGGAACCAGGATGAGCCTGAAGGACAAAGCGCACGAGCTTTATGAACACAGTAGTAGCAGTTTATATAGTCTAAAATTTGTACACTATCAAAACTAGCAGTATTGTGTGAGGTACAAACCACCATGTTAACTTCGTCACTCCAAATGATAACATCGAAATGCTTGAACTGACCTTTGGTAGCTTAGAGATTACCCCTCTGTACTGCTAAGCTCCACAGTTGGTAGCAGGTGCGCTTGACGACAGGTGATTGGAACAAAATACAAAACATGCCCGCATACTATACATAGATTTAGCTATGCAGCTAGACTTCCCAACTACATACACCTCAAAATCACATTTTGGTTTTCGGAGCATGAAACGCCACACAACTTATTACCCAGTATAGCTTTAAACTACAGGAAAAATGTCTATCCCAATGCATTCAGTAGTACAACCTAAGCAAACTCAATCCAAGGGTAGTCACGCTTCATAATCTTATTCCAGTGTCTAATATCTTCAACCATTACTGAGTTCCTGTACAATTTCCTCCTTGACCACATAGTACACTCACTTTAGTTTGTATCTCTGCATACCTGAATGCTTGTGTATTGCTATTAGAAGAGCAATGTGCCTCACATTCTAATGAACCAATCTGTGGTATGACATAGTTTTATTCCTCATTCCCATGAGATAACTTCGCTATAATACTAAATTATTTCTTTCTTGTGTATGCATACATAATAGTACGCACCTGCAATGTGTAGCTGTGCTGACTAGAGCAAAGGTAAATGCTAGGTTATCACATAAAAAAAAAAAACATTTGGCACAAAAAATGCAACATTTAATGCATTTCGATGTCTTAGCTACTGCCCAAGTGCCTTGTTCAATGTTGGTACATTGAGAAAATACAAGACACACTTTAAATGTTTTGATAATATACGACACATTTTATTAAAATTCCATCAAACTTTCATCTTTAAATCACTCTTGCAAGTTCAGACAAATCTCTTGTTTCGTTCGATGAAGTAAGGCAACAATGTATAAATGCACTGAGAGCATGAATTTTGAGCAGGTAACAGCAACAAACTAAAGCAAATAGGCACTTGTCATAGTATCACCTATGTAAATAATTTCCTTTTAACATGCTTGCCTCATGGTCATATGCGTGTGCAAGGTTTCTCTCGGGGGGGGGGGGGGGGGGGGAGGAATTTTCATGACAGTGACCCCTTTCTATTATGTCAATGTATGGGATGGATATTCCCCTCCCCCTTTAGGTGACTAGGAGCGGGTGGCTGCCCCCTGTGCGTATGCCTATGCCCACGGCGTTCACGTTTATTTAAATGAAACCAGGGAGAGCATCTACAGGTACATGAGACAATAGTTGTAACTGTGCGTCTTATCCATTGCTAGCACAATGTATTTTAGTATCCTTCAGATGGACCGTTGAAGCACACCTTTACATCATCTTAACACAATAGCACATAGAAGCGTTACCATGGCTTGCAACAATCATGCACAATGAGTCATTAAACCAACGTGTTCGTGAAAAAAAGCCTCCAGAAAGAAAGTAAGTCGGCATGCCACACTCAATCTTCCACAAGCAGCCATGCAGCTGCAGACTATCATGATGCACACCTGTTTGCCCTGCAGTAAATCTACTTGTGAGTCAGCCCAAGCAGGACTGCTCCGTTGACTTGCAGAATTTTTATTGCGAACAAAGTGGTAGAAGGCTGCCAGGGGTCTAACGGGCTAGAACGTTGATTTGTTTTGTTTGAGAGGCCTTAGATCATGCAATTAAGCGAGTACACCCAACAAGCCATTGTTAGGGGTCTTTTGAAGCACCTTCTTTCTTCACCCTATTTAGTGGTGTTAGGACGTATAATAATTTAGAAAAAAAAAAAGAAAGTACACCGGCCAAAGAAAACATTATTTAAAATTTTCCTTAGCGTTTTCACATTTTTTTTTCATTGCCTTTATCAACATAAATACATTCCGGCTTGAACTTTTTGTACAAATACTCCTCACATTCCCCCGCAAAGATCTTGGGTATTTTATACTTATGAGCAGTTTTTTCTACAAAAAAGGCATGGTTTGCACTTTGAGTAAGGTTACACCCGAATTTTTTTTTTTTTTTCACTCTCCACTCACAGTAAGCATAAACTGGGTGGCCATTTAGATAGCGATCCACTGGTCGCTATCTAAAGTGCAACCATGAAACGAAGAGGAATCGACACTTTCAAATGGTAAGGCTGCAGCGCACGTACTGATAGGATGACACATGGCAGAAATGAGCAATGTGTAATGCAGCGAAAATTCTACTTACGCATAGGCTAGGCCTTTGTCAGCAAGTAGGAAGTAGACGAAGCAGACGCAGGTGCACAGGTTGGTGACCACAATGAGCAGGCTGCTAAACTGGCGCTTCGCCTGCCATGTTGGGCGATCCCATGGTCACCGCGCAGCACCACAGGCACACCAACAGCAGCACGCCGAGCAGGGCAATGTAGGCCAACATGGTGGCAGAGGGTGGACGAGAGGCGAGAAAGAAAGAGATTGGAGGAAAAGAAAACACTTAGAGAATGGCGACCAGTGGTACGATCTCCTCTTGTGGCCTTTCAAGAAATGTGTTGGAGGTTCGAGTGCTCTTGCAGGTGCTATGTGTCGCAGTTATCGGGCTAAAGACGGCAAAAGAACTGTCAAAGTCAAAGGGGAAGCTTGGAAGGTGAGCAGACACAACGAATCTGCGTAATAAGAATGGTATTGAGTCGTGCCAATTGTCGGCAAAGAAACTGCGCAACAGTAAAGTGTCAGAGTCTAAATGGAAGCACAAGCCAGAATTAACTGCCACAAAGCAGTGGACTTCAGAGCTTTAGTCACAAATTCACAAACCGCACTTTGTTTGCAAAGTGCAAAAAGAGAGAAAGACAACTAAACAACAAGAATCATGGAAATTATTTCCACAGCAACTACTTTCTCGAACGATCTCAATGACGACAGAGACGTTCCCCCTGCTGTTTGAAAGTGCAAATGAGCTGCAAAGAGGGCCCTCCAGGTGGCTTTGCAAGCAGCGAGCAATGGATTACTTCAAAAGGAACCCGATTCAGATGCTAAAGATAGATATAATTGAAAGCACAGACTTCTGAAGGTCCCGCCGGAGTGCCTTAGAAACTAGAAACAAATGCACAGCCAACTAAAAAACATCAGTGATGTATAAATAGAGAGTACAATCTAGAGAAAAAAACAACATCAGGGACTTCCTATTTGAGGCAATAACAGGTATGTAACAACGAAATCTGCGATAATGTTAAACCTCTAAACAAACGTATACTTGCACAGTGCAAGTACTGCCAGAGGAGTGAAATTATGGCAGCTAATGCGACTGGCCAAAGAGAAGGCACACTTCATAGATCAAACGCTACCATCGTCGCTCTGCCATAAGGAATGACAACACCAGCAAACAAAACAGTGCTGAAAAGCCAAAAAAAACCAACTAAAAAGCCAACTTCAAGAAAGCTACACACAGAAAAGTGTGGCTCAGATACGCAAAGCAAGTGCTGGCACAGCAGAAAAATCCTCGCCACGGAATCAACAACCGCCAGGTATTCCAAGTGACAGCTGCGGATATCCGATGATGCGTTGGATGCGAGCAGACCAGTGGAGGTAGCAACAGGTTTGACAGCGAAGAGTCGTGCGATGAAACACTCGCAGCGTGAGGACAAAGTAAGGTGCAAAAAGAATTGAAATATCACATGACAGCGACACAGTGCCTCCCCCCTCCCATCAAAAAAAAAAAAAACTGCGGTAGAGAGAGAGCAATACAGAGCCCAGCTCAAGAAGCAGAGCGAACGACGTCAAAGCAGCCGAGAGAGGAGTGCCACATGCTGCCTCTGCGTCACCGAACCCAGCTGAAGCACCCTCCTCCTCCACTTCTCTCTCTGAACCTCCTTCCTCTTTTTCTCACCCTAGTTTCTTATATATTCACCACCTGCAGCACAAGAAACCTCTCTTTTCTGCGACCTTGTGCAAACAAACTCACTTATTACTACCTTTTTTTTTTTCTTATCTACGTCCTGCCAGCGTAGCAGGAAGCGACATCCTTTACCTTCACCCTGAACCTCTCGCCCAAGTCCTTTTCTACCGTACACTATATGACCTCGCAGGAAAAAGCTAGAAACGACAGCAGCAGGCCAAGCCGTGCCTCGAGTCTGCAGCGCAGCTGTTTTCCCAGACAGCAACAGATGTTCGACACGATGGAGGCAAACAGAAATAAGAAATGCAAAAAGAAAAAGAGCCCTTTCTTAGAAACTTATTCATTGCAAAGACATCGCTTTGCTCGCTAAGCAAACACGGCGAAGAATAAATAGAGCCACTATTGTGTCTACTTGCCCATGCCTGGAGTCCATTTGTACAGCAATAATAATAATTGTGGCAACAGCTGTTTCATATCGTGGGGAGGATTGGGAAGAACTTATGATACTCTCAAACAATTAAAAGTGATTTAAAAGAGCCTAACGGGGCATTCGGCACAATCAAGTCTAAGAGAAACCACCTGTGCTAATTGAAAAAGGAAGGTGTTAGCAATGGAATAGAATTTCCCAACAAGCCGACTTAGCTACACAATTTTAAACATTTTATACAAATGCATTTTTTGGAATATAGCATGCTACGAAGCACGAAATACGAAAGTGCTGTCATGATCAAGACATAAGGCTTAATGAAGCATACCAAGGTCTTGCACATAAAAATTATCCAAAGATATTCAATGAGAGCTGATGGTCGAAAAGTAATGTCATACTCGTAAGGAAATAACAAGAAATACTGTTAGCTGCCTTAGAAATGAGCAGAAAAATATGAGAGCGAATACTTACACACATAGTGCATCACCGCACTACCATACAGTGTTCAATAGTACAACCACTATTCAACAACTGGCAAATTCTTTGAAACACTTTCTCAGTCCTTAATCTTAAAGGGGACGTGGCAATGAAAATTATCTTTGTTATTTATGAAGCTAAGGGATGAAAATCGGCATGCAGATGTCATTTGTCGTGCTGATATCATTACTGAAACTGGTTTTGAGCCTTCTAACATGACTTTTGTGTTCAACACTTGATAGACTCTCATTGTCACCCCAAAATTATTAGCTAATTAGACACACGCTCATCAAAGTGTTTACATAAGAATATTTACAAGGGTCCATTTTACGCTGTAATGCTATTGGTTTATTTTTATTATTTAAGTAAACACACAAAAATATTTCTGAAATGTCCTGGACATATTGTCTTACCAACAACTTTTACAAAAAGCCAATTACAAAAGTCTGTATGATGTGCACACAAATATGGACAGCTTTATGGCACTCACCAATGTCTCACAATCTAAGTGCACAAAACGGAATGGCTATAGTTGAATTTATTGTGAAATGGCATGCACAGGGCTGACTGACAGCGACTGCTCCAAAAATGGAAGCTGGGAAAATGGAGCTTAAAGAAATTGAAGCTAGAAGCAGATCAAATGGAACTCGGAATGAAGCTGGCTTTATTTTTCATTGGAGAAATGCATCTTTCTGGCTTTCTTGAGTACCAATCTGTCCTCTTTATGATGATGCCAATATGGTGGCACTGGGCCAAAGGAAAGCTGCAAATTTGCATACAGCTATGCACAATTTTCACACAGCTTTTCACGACAGCCCACCAGTAAAATGCATGTTCCTCAACTTCTACTACTTATTTTGGTCTAAAATCACACTATGATATAAAACATGGTCTCAGGATTACAGAAAAATATTATTTGGAAAACTGAGCATTTTGACCAAATTTACAATTCTCATTGCCACAACCCCCCTTAAGCTGCTAGTACAGAAAACGTAATACAAGACATCTAAGAAAGCATACGAGACATGACTACAACTGAAATTAAATAAAGAAGTTAAATAACAATGACATACACATATCCAATACACACCACTGTTACTGGGGCAGTTGTACAGCTTAACTAAGAATACAGCTTGAGTGACCATTAAAATATGCCTCAGAGAAAGGAGAGAAACATTTGAAGCTAGAACGAGGCTGCAACTGCAGCTTGAACTAAAGATGAAATAAATGGCACAGGGCACCGATGAAGCGCAAAACGTGAACATGATTTACTGCGAATTATGATTTAAAAAAAAAAAAGAGAAATCATGAAGAAACCGACCAAAAGAAAAAGAAAAATTCCTGGCACAACACGACACAAGTGTCCAGTGCCGATGCAGGTGCTGTCATGCAAAATGATTGATGTACAAGAAGCCTCCTTATTGATCCTTATACAGCTTGCTCCTCTTAGCTCCGCAGAAGGGACAACAACCTAGGCCTTCAAAACCGGAAGCCTACATACATCTATAGCTCTCTCTGACCTTCCGATACAGTGCACATGTGGGTGGTAAATCAAAAACGTCCTCTTTTCAGATAAAGAAAAAAAAAATAACTGAATGAGAGTTTGCAGGAGTGATTGAGATTTTGAGAGTCGTGTGTTGTTACCAGCTGTAAATGCCAGAAAGTGCAACCTTTAGAAACAAACTTTCAGAAAGATAATGAAAAAGAAAAAAACGAGATGAATCATAGTAAAACAGGCCTTTTGGCTAGTTGGTAATAGTTCATTGTGAATGCAAAAAGTGGGGTGAAGAATAGAACAGAGACTAGACAAGAGAACGACAACACACGCGCACACTAGCAACTGAAAGTTTATTGAAAAGGCAACACATATACAGTTTACAAAAATTATTACATGGTAGAATTCCTCTCACCAAAAAAAGCAGAGAGACTACCACCGTTCTACAAAATATGAAGGCCCTTATATGTACCTAAATGGAAAAGAACTGGATAATAAAAAATGAAGAAATTGCGTGGTTGGGGTTGGATAAAGAGAACCAAAGTATTTCTGCCATGTATTATTCAAATATAAGTACTCCTCGTTCTTTAATATGGCAATAGAATTCAGGGTGACTGACACATCTCTCTCTGCATTGTTGATGTGGAATGCTTCCATTGATTTGTGGGCAGCTTCATCTCAATTCCCAGATAGAATAGTCGCATCAACAAAAAAAGGGTGAGCAGCTGCACTTGGTGCAATGCTGCGCCAAGTGGGCACCGTACTTTTCTAGCTTCTTGAGCTTTAGAAACAAGAATAAGTCTGCTAGATTCAAATTAAGGCTGTAACAAGGCTGCATTAGCCTTGGACAGGTATGCATCATAAAGTGACGTCAACAATTTTCAGGAAAATAAGTTATGGGTACAGATAGCTAAACACCTCATTAAAACTGTATATTGAAATAGAAGTGAAACATACTTCAATATAACCATTAGCTGGTTATAAATACCTTTCATTTTTATCACCCCTACTTTTGTGAAAGGTATGTTATTATTGAATGTTCAGCAATGTCAAAGCTTGCCCAGATTAAAAGCAAGAGCATTGGTTACTGTCATTCACTGTATTTCCTCAAGACAAAAACCTGTACAGTCGATGTGCAGCCACCGTTGCCTGATGTGCAGCCTGATCTCATCATGACAGAGAAGTTTTCATGCAAATAAGGTTGGTGTCGAAATATTCAAACGCCCAGTCCACACAATAAGCCAGAATCGCATCCAAGCCCCCAGTGCGACAAAAAAACTTAGACTTTCAGATAGCACAACTGCTTCTCTACCAATTGAACTATGACAGCAGTCATTCCTCCGCCGATCCACTTTATTCAGCTCTTGTGCATGTAAATCGAGTGTTTGCCAGTGCCATTCATCACCATGGAAATAAGAGTGGAACGACCTATTTTACCAGCTAATTGTACCGAGATAAACATAATATCCCATTACTTATCTTTATCAGCCTGCAGGAAAAGTTATCAACGTTGCCAGGCAAAGTTGTGTGGGATATACAACAGGTGTTCTAAGTTAAGCTTTACGGCTTCATTACTTGAAAATGCATCACTTGAAAAAATGTGGAAAACACCTATGAACTTAAGTTATAAATCCAGGAGGACATAAAGTTAGACAACAATCGTTATCAGCTTTTTTTATTCCATTCAATTTAATGATAAACTTTATTTGTTGACTGCAGCAGGTGGGCATGTTCGTATGTTGGAGACAGCCGCATTTCTACACAGTTGTGCATGAAACCGTGTAAAAACAAGACTTCTAGCATGTCAGTACTCAGAGATATCCCGCTGCAAAGTTTAATTGCTCTTTGCATGATTATGCATGCCAGCCAATGAAAATTAGCACAATTGTCCTCCCTGATTTGATGAGCAGTCATTGATTCCTATCACCGACCAATAGTAAACGGATGACCGCAATCACCATTGCCTATGCCTCCAACCTGTGGTCAGATTATACATAGCAATCAAATGCCGTGGCACCGTTGGGGAGGAGCTATGTGCCAGTGCTCACAGTTTTGCAAGAGTAATCATGTAAACCCCCATTCAATTTTGCAGCGAGATATCTCAGAGCATAGACATGGTAGTACTCTTCGAACAATTTAGAAACTAGAATGGCTCCAACTTTTCAATAGAAGGATGCCTGCTTGCTGCAGTCAGTAAAAGTTCATTATTCGATATCACTTAGTCGGGTGGCTGACAGCTATAAACATTGTCTCCCATTATGTGACACACAGTGTGACTCGCCGCAAGGGTGCTCTTCCAGTTGAGAATATCTGAAACATGTTTCAGCCGTCTTGAGGTGGTGGCAAAGTTTAAGTTAAGGAGCCTTTCTGAATTCGGGGGTTAGTGTTCATTCTAGAAGAGCTAAACACATCTTGTAGAGCTCAGCATGCTTGAGATGAAAAAAAAAAAAAAAAATATGGAAGAAGAAAACATAAAAAGAAGAAAAGCAGCGGCAGTGTAAGTAACCTTACAATTCTATTTATGAGAATGCTGCTGTTTCCTTTAAGCAGGAGACCACAAGGACTGTGACAACAAATGATGAAGGATTGCCCTTTGACTTAATCATGCTAAATGGTCTCCATTGTTTTTGCAGGCTTGTATGGTGGGATTTCATTGCAATCCAGATACACCGCCCGCATGAATGTATGTTCAAGAGAGTATGACCAAGTTTATTGAACTGCAGGAAGCTCAGGAGCGTGTGGCTGAGTGGTTGCGGGGGGCAGAATGCTTCGCAGCACTTGAGCAATTTCAAACTTGCGTCTGTCCAGTGGGACTGACGCAGTTTGTTTTTGTTACAATCCTATTCTTGTTGTTTTATGTATTTGTCTAAAAACAGGCAATAAAGCAAAAAAAAAAGAACAATGCCCAATGCCACAGGCATAAGCGTGTGCAGAATTCAGATGGGGGCGAAGGTTTGTTGCACCCCCCCCCCCCCCCATCATGTCAACCTTTCGAGCCCACCCTCTTGCCTCCCCCCCTTCCCACGAATGCATGCCTATGGCTGCAAAGCTTGCAGAATTCGCAAAGAATTACCAATGAAAATTATAAAGCATGCTACGAAATGCCTGTAGCTGTGATGCTTCTACAAAAGTTAGTAGTTACATTGCTATTAAACATTTTCTAACACATAGCAATTTGAGCTCTAAGCAAGGCAAAAAGTAAAAATATGAATACAAAAAACCATCAATGGTGCTATCTGAATGCATTTTCTTCCCACAACAGTAATAGTTTCAGTACCTAACGTTAAAATGCCTCAGTGAAGAAACTGTTTTCTTTTGATACAATAGCTTTAGTGACTCATAGTATTATGCTGGTCTAAAGAAAGCTACAGCTGATGCTGAGTCATACAGAGAACATTATAGTAGCAGAGACATTTTTCGAAATAGCAATAGAATGCAGGGCGGGTAATAGTCAAACAGTAGATCTAGAAAGCTGTGCAACACACTCCATTGCATGCAGCAAGCCAATTTTAAAAGAACCAGCCTGGCAGCTATAATTGTATTAATATGTACTTTAAATGGAAACACATATGATACACAAGCCTGATTTGAAAAGGGCATAAAATATCATCAGGTGTTACATCGAAGGAGCCAAAAAGAAACAAGCAATGAACAATAACCAAATAAAAGTTGATTTGTATAATAACTATACGCACAGTCTTACGTCTTTCTAACGATGTGATTGGCTAACTTTTCTCGTGAGAGTTACGGTTCACTGATGATCTCCCCCTCTCGAACTTCATCCACTTATAATCATTCACTTCGTGGATATGGTGTGATATTTTTTTTGCTGATGAATTTGTTTTTTTGGACATTCGATAATTCGGACCTATGTTTATTTTTCATAAAGTCTGATTTATCAGTCATCAACTGTATAAAACATGTCCCATAGCACATGGGAGACTCATGTGTAAAAGAAAGTTTATCGGCATATTGTCAAAATACCTCTAAAATATCAGTATGCCCCTGTTTCTCGTCCTTCTCCCGCAACATCGTTTTAATGGCAAGAAGCTTTGGAAACTTTCAACACAAATGAAAGGGCTGGAATGAATTTCACCGTAACGAATGCTGTCCCCCCCCCCCCCCCCCCTTAGCCCGAGATCTGTTTTTGGATGCATGTCTTGGAGGCCATGCATAAACTCTTATCACGTAAGCCCTTTAATTAGGTTTAACGCGGCAGCCCACCTGACACCGCTGGAAGGTCGTTACGCATTCTCTGCACCATTTTTAAACATCTGAACATGTTCATGTGCAAGTGCACACTTGTCAAGTCTGTTTAAGTGTCTTGTTACCATACATTTTGTCCACTTCCTTTCTTTTTACGCTGGAAACATGCTGGCTGGTCGATGAGGTCAAGAGCACGCCGACGTCAGGCTTGTTGCCATTTCGATTAAAAGAATACGCTCCACCCAAGTTGCTATGTCCACAAGGTGAATACATTAAGAAATGCTTCCCGCTTATTTCAGGAATCAGTTACAAGCATCCCAGCGACGAGCTTTATAAATAACTCACCTGTTTGCCGACCTCGCGCTTGATTACAGAGTTGGCATGGCAAAATGTGATGAAGAGTCCAAGGATTGCTAGAACACCTGCAAAAAAAAAAAAAAAAAACACTAGCTCAACTGCTGACATACGCAAATGTAATATGTGAATGGAGCTAAGATTTTGACATCCTTTGGCTATCAGCTACATCCATAGCATGCCCTGCCTCTGCCCCGTAACGCACTGGTTTCACTATAACGTCAGCAAAAAAAGGTTAGCCATCCAAATATGCTGCTGTCGATCATCGGACGCAGGGCAAACTTTGACAACGAACATCGTAACACTGTAAAGCTAGGAGTGATGGCAATTACGGAAACAAAATTTAGTGTGGCCCTTCTTAATAAAGTGAAATACTCAATTCATTCTAACTATTATCAGAAAAACCCATCCATATTAGTTCTGCAATCGTACGATGTTCGTCATTAGAAAACTAAATAAGGGTCATAGTTTTGTTTATGAATTTCAGAATCGTACAATCACACCAGAATGTCAGTATAATGCTATCACTGTGAAAAGAGCAGTGCCATGTAATGTCTCTCTCTTCGTTAGAAGGCAATGTGTATCATTTTTACCAAGAAGAAATTACGCAGGTGCTGGCAGACATCATCAAATATATTATAGTGAATGGGTACAGAGGCTTCAAGGCAGCCTTGTGACCGGTGTCTTTTTTTTTTTTTTTTTCTCTCTCACACATTTCCTGGTTTGGTTTAGAAGAGTATTCTCAAGGCAAGCATGTTGTTTTTGAAATTGTGAAAGGCTAATTCACTAATTACAAGTGAAATTATTCCTTTCTTCAGCGCCTCTTTCGAGCTTTTTCAAGCTCTTAATCTTTCAAATACTACACTCAAACCTCATTACAATACTCACACCTGCGACAAAAGTAACTTCGTTATATCAAATATACACTATAAATGTACATTCATAACACTGCAACTATAACAACACTAATAAATACTTAATAGCTAATAATAGCAGATATAATAAACTACTGTTATATGTATTTCACTGGTGAGGTGAACTATGCTTTGTTATTATAGCATTTTCATTTGAAGCAGTGACTTGATAACATAGTATAACTGACACACTGTATAACAATGTATACTATATTATACAATCACTGAATAACACAAGTAAATTTTATGCTGCAAAATGTGCCTGAACTATTGAAGAGAAGTTGAGCCCTCATCAGGTGTAAAGAAACACCTTCCGCCAGATTTGATCGGTCTGCAGTGTTCATTGAATGCTGAAAGAAAGCTCTTTTGCCATTGTTGTTAAACAAAGCGAACTCACCCACACGATGATCAAACGCCAGCTTGAGGAGCAGAATCAGCACAAAGGTGACGTACTTGTCCATGAGCGTGAGGAAGGCCCGAACCTCGGGTGTGGCGGCCACCCCGTCATCTGTACCAGTGCCAGTGTCAGCCCGGGGTGGGCTGGACGGCGGTGTTCCAGGTGCCATTCCAGTGGCCACGTCGGATGAGCTGCGGGTGTTAGGCAATGGAGGTGTTGGCGAGGCATCTTGCTCCATGTTGATCACAAATGATGATCCTGCACCTGCATTCATTTGGGCTGTGGGAGAAAAAAAAGAAACTATAGTCAGCCACAACTCAAGAATGAATACGAGCTCCGCCCATAAAACCGCAGGGCTTTTCAATTACCTATGTAAGAGAGTAATAGTGCAAGCTTAATTTCTTTCTGACTGCAAGTACACTTTCAGTGCTAATGTAAATGCCACGTGTAAAGAAATCTAAAGGTACATTGTTAACACTCAAAATATGACATTTGGCGACACAATGACATCAAACACCTGATAATGTTTACCAGGACATTCAAGTTTTCAACACAACACCGCTTGAAACACTGAACTGCCCGACGACACAGAAATGAGCAAATTATTGTGACTGGATGAAATGTATGCGCAAGTCTTCCCAGGGTGGGGCTGTGGTGACTGTGGATGTAGCTCGGGCTTATTCTTAGGTTCTAACAGACTACAATTATTTTGTCAGAATTACCTTTTCACTGATCTTTCTTCACACTCAAATGCAAGAATAATATAATGGTGTTGACGGTCACTTCTGACTGCAATCGGATTTCTCGATCGCAATCGATGGAACTTGTGCTAGGCAGTCCGCATATCTTGATTCAGTTTCAGAGAACTCAAGAGCACTAGGCGTAGCCTATCCAAAGCACCTGCCGAAGTTGTTTTAGGCACTCACCAAAGTTGTCTAGTCCACAGACAAAGTGTACTGTAACTCTTTCCAAGAAAATACTATTTAGGCTGTCATTACAGATAGTAACAAGAAAACAATAGTCATTTGCTGATGATCTGCAGCTCTAAGAACTGCATTGGGTTACAAATGTTGACTGGCAAGATATGTGCAACACTGAATATTTTCGGACCTTGAGGCTGGGGGAGACTGACATTATATAAAGTTCTCACCTCATGCCATCCGCGTGTTGCAGTTAGCATAGCCTGTGGCATAGTTGGCTGAAGTCGCTGTGAAGGGAAAGTTGACACTGTGCTCTCATAGTGGCACCAGTGGTGCTGCTTGGAGAGCAAGTGGCACTGCCCATCTGAATGCGTCAATGTTACGTGTGGCCATGCGGAGCACAGCTCTTCCACATTTTGGGGATTGGCATTGCTCGTGGACGATCATTTCTCGTGTGAGGTCCGCGGCTCGAACGCCACCAGTGCCACACTCGTGGTACATTGTGTGCTATGTTGTCTGTGCGAGTTATATTTATATTCTATTGTATTATTTGTCATGTTACGGCAGGTATTTATAAGATTCGGCTGGTGGGCTTGCCGTGGCGTTAAAAATGACAATGTAAGCACCACTGTGTAGAAGCTGTCACGGTATTAAGTTTCAAGCATATATTCAAAACAATAAGTCCAGTAGGACACAGACATCAAACAACAACCACAGCAGGTTATACTATATACAACTTAAAGCGTTTAGTGTTTTCAATGTGTCATGCAACCAACTCGCTCGTACCTAGACCTTAGTTCAATTTCAAATTTTGATGTGTTATCTGGTACAGGCCAGTCGCATTTGGTACGATAGTAAGCTAGCCTTTCCTGCATTTCTGGCATGCTTGGTTTCAATGCCACCTTGGTTTAGAGCAAAATTTTGACAATACACATGTCCAATTTGGTGCCACTAGCAAAGTTTCTAAATTTATGGGGAAGCATTATAGCGTATATACAGTACCACAATTTGGTAAATTCTTCCGAAGCTTCAATAAAAAAAGTTGAAACATTATTGACACTGAGGGATCTAAAAACACATGTGATCAAGATAAACCATAGGCTGGCTTGCCTATAAATTATTCTGTGATGATGTCACATCTGCTGCACTTCTTAGCATACTTATAAAAGATATTTATCTGCAGCATAAAAAAAATAACACTTGTATATCCACAACAGCTGCAAACACATCACTACTATACCTGAGTGGAACAAAATGCAATAAATTGTTTTACTGTCCAGCACCATAGTGTTTTGAAATGAACAGAGGTCAAAGGTACACAGCTATAAAGGAGACACTCATTAAATGGAACCAGAAGGGATCAGAAAAATGGGTTCTATTAACAGGAGTTCTGTTTACTCAGAGATGAGGAGAGAACTCAAGCATGAAATCAATCATATTACAGGCAGCTGTGACAATTAAACAGCAGTTGTATTTAAGATACTTCTACTTATACTGATAATCTACTGTATTAAGTTTGAAATGACCGAAACTTTAGGAAAACATTTTTTTTTGTGCATCGCTCATATGTTTGTTGCATGTAAAGTATTAAAAATATCAGCTGATGTGAAAATGTGAAATCTTAGAACATACACTGAAGTGCTGTTCATTCGGTAGCCTGTGCTAACCTTGCATCCTTTCATGGACTTAGCGAATAACAATGTGAGTACTGATATTTTCACGCGTTTAACCCACCCTGTATATAATCCGCACCCCAACTTTCAGCTCACCGAGAAAGAAAAAAAAAATCCTCGCGTATTGCCCACAGATTTGATATAATAGAAAGGCTGTACAAAAGCTACTGCTCAAGCAACACAGCACACATGTATATTTAAAAAGCTTTATTTAGCAAGCAGAATATGCTGCCTGCAAAACCAGTCACCATTCGCTCATTGTCACTGCTCTCGCTAGAGCTATCACTTGAGCTGCAGTCCTCACTGTTATGCACAAGGTCATCTTCGGTTCCATCCGTGTTGTTTGTGATGCAGCATTTCTTGAAACATTTGCGCACCATCTCACCTGGAAGAGCCTTCCATACCTCGACAATCCACTTGCAGAATAGGGCAATATCAGGCCTTCGGCCATTCACTGCGCATAATTGGGCTTGGCATACGCTTTGAAGGGCTTGTTAAGCAACATATCTAGAGACTGAAACGTTGGCGTCATTTTACTGGGTATGACAACTAAGTCAGTGTTACTGCACAAAAGGTGGTCGGTTCTTCACTCCCTCAGTTTGTGGCCGCGGAACGAGTCAAGAAGGAGCATGGACCACTTTGCGAGCATCGCACCGGGCCTCTTCTCTCATACCGTCTTGACCAAAGCCATGAACAAGTCACTGTTCATCCACGCATTTCCATGTGCGTGCACGACCACACCAGCAGGCCAAGGAATTTTGGGAAGAGTTTTCCTTTTCAGGATGATGTATGGTCGCAGTTTCGTGCCATCAGCGAATGCACAAAGCAAGATTGTGCAGTGCAGTTTCATCTTCCCACTGGTCAGCACGCTCCCCGAACTGCTGCTCGTCTTCTCAATCATTTTGTCCAACGGCATTTCAATATAAGCAGGAGTTTCATCCGCGTTGCCGATTTGTGAGAAAATGTAATCGCGGTGCTTTCTTAAGGGGAGATGCTACTCGAAAAACAATTTTCTTTAATAAGAGTCTGAATTTAACACAAATTGGCATGCTAATAGAGTTTTTTCTCCTCTTTTCAAATATGTTATTTATTTTCATGTAGATTGCTTGGTTTTCTTTCTGCAAGTCAGATACTGCAAAATTATGGCCATTGTTATGCAACAATTCTGACCTATAAAAATTTGAGATAAAGCATGCAGATATAGCTGACTATGATCCTTTGGAACTGTTGAGTGCAAAAAACTATATAAATTTTGTGTGTAAAAAGGTGAAATACAATAATAAAATAGAAAAACTTACTATGGCTCTAGTTGCCAAGGGCTTTCAATGTTATGTAATTTTTGAAAAACATAATCAAGCAGCACTGACAATCTGAATAGATACTTGCACTCTATGGGCCTTCATCATGCTATGTGCAAAATTTCATAGAGGTATGACAGTTCTAAGTATACGAACCAACGTGTATAAGAAGCGCAGATCACACAAAACTGGAAAAGGAGAAAAACGCATTTGAAAGTTTGAAACCTTTTTTTTTTTTATCACAGAGTTGTTAGAAATGCATAATCTTTGGCCATAACGTTCAGCAGAACTTTGAAAAGCACTGCAAGTTACTAGAACTGTCCTGCAGCATAGGTTGTGCCCTCACGGTCCTTGCGAGCACTCTCTTCTAGACGTGCCCATTTCACTCCACGACGACGGTGGGCCCTTGCTTCTGCTGTCAGACGCTCAATCATTCTCTTTTATGCGCCTCGCATCGTGGGAATCACTGAAAGTAACTAGATCTCTAGATGGCAGTATGTTGAGCTCTTCCAGGATGTGCTCGAAAGTAGCATGACCCTTGTTGAACCACAGGATTGCCATAGCTGCGGCAGTCTCGACAACCGTTCGGGAGACAAACTTAGTCTTGGGGCAAAGTAGCCAAATTTTGCTGTTCAGGGATTCCGATGCGTTCTGGGTTTTCCCTTTGATGCATCGAGCAAGGAGCTTCTCATCCGTTAGCCGCTTATAAATGGGCAAAACAGCCAATCCCTGTGCTTTTGTCAGGAGAGGTGTGTGGCGTGGTGCAGGTTCACCAAGTGCTTCAGCGCGTTGATGTTTGCACCACGACTCTGTTCCTGCAGGGCAAAACTTGTGGCTGCCAGCATTGTCAGTAGAGCATGAGTGGAAGTACGAAGCCCATACTGCAGTGTACATATCCCGTACACTCCCCCTGTTGCTTGTTATGGCAATCTGATAGTATGTTTGGAGCTTCTGAATGGCTGGCTCTTTCATTTTCTGCCCTCGTGGTAATGGCACATGCAGCTTCCGTAGCGCGGTGCCAAGTCTCTTGGCCACATGATTAGTGCAGTCTTCTTTTTCTATATTGACAGCACCATAGACTTTTGACTCTGCAACTGCACTATATGTTTTGCTGTCACCGTCACTCAAGAATGTCATGAAATGCAGTGGGGTGTCATAAGTCAATGTTCTCTGCCAAATGTGCATTGCAGCCTCCGTTTCCATGGCATGGGAGGAACAGTCTGCATTTTTTTCACAGACTGGGCCATGGAATGCCTGCCACACTTCCTCGTCTGGGCCCATATCCTTGTGCCTACTGCATGTCAGGCAGTAATTTGATATGACCTCGAAGTCTAAGCAGAGGCCAGTATCTAAGGAGATAACTGCGCCAATCCCGTTGTGGCTTTTGT